ATACAATATACATATTGTGCGCCATCGAAATGAATCAACGAATGTCAGGTAAATGGATTGGATTACCATACATCAATTATTACCTATCGATATATATAGGTTGTAGAAAAATATACGCCGCCACCTGGGACTACTCGCAAGGCATCAGGTATCCCACTAACATGTGAAAAGGAATCCAACTTCTTATTGTCAATTATCTAACTGTGCAAGCTTGTTTTTCTTCAAGATTCGAAAAAGTTTCCTGCGTAATTCTATAAGTAATTATCACCACGCAGTTTAGAAAGCGGCACACCCTTTTCAGTGCCTCAAGTTGTTAAATGATGTAGTTCTTCTGGAAGTTGAGGAGCTTCATGCTAGTAATACTCTGACATTTAAGGCAACTTGCAATCTTCTTTTTGCACAACGAACGATAGTGACTTCGTTGGGGTCGATTTTAAGAATAATATTCCTCGTTTGGTACGCTTTTATCGAATAACTGTTGCTACTGTTGGTGCAAATCCAGCGGGTCAGTTTCTTGCAGAAGCGCTTCCGGTTGACCAGTCGCACCACAAAGGACGTCTGTATCGACGTCGTTTTGTTCGGTTGAATTGGGTGCTTTTGGCTGTTTTGAAATAGTTAATCTGTTGATAACCTGACTGATAACGATATGTCCTTTTTGTTTGGCTTCACCTGCTCTGAAAATATGACCACTTTGTATCACTTTGCCGCCACAATTTTACATGTCAAACCGTACTTCCTTGTCTTTGCGTTTATCTCTAGTAAAATATATTTAGAAAACAAAGCCATTGCGTAAGTGCTTAAAATATCGGAGACTCCTAAAAACATGAATGGAAAGCTATTGCTTTTTACGTACTGATTTCACGCAATTGACTATTACTTATTATTACGTATTACTTAACTATAGGATGCTGATGATATTTTGTATTATTACTGTTGTCTAGATAGGCTTAGACATTAAAAAAAAAAAGTACTTTTTAGCTAATAGGTTCTTGATTGTATGAATAAACTTGCCAGTTGTTGTTCCAGTTGTTACAGACGGAAACGTCGTTGTCCGGTCCATAGAATCGTCCCACACCGTGAAATCATCCTGAAAGATTACTCAAAATTAAAAAATTTTCACAGTTACTAATTAATACTCTGTATTCGATGAGCAAGAGGATTAGTTTTCGCTTCTGCGACTTATAAGGGAAATTGTCCCTCATGCCTTCTGCAAACCTAGTGTCCAATAAATATATAATACAGACTGGAGTAGTAGTTAAATCTGTAGTTACAGTTAAGTAAACGCAGGAATTATGGGACAGGCAAATCTCAAATTGAAGCCTGTTCAACGGACTGAAAAGGACAGTTTATTATGGCCCATACTTCTGTAATAGTCTGCACTGTGGGTCTCACATTCGGCTGAGCGGCACGAAGGACCGTGTCTGGCTGTGTAGGACAGAAAGTTGCATGTTTCACTTTGTCGGCAGCGTCGTGTTCTACCGATGACATACTTTCTGATACAACGTTATTTTCGACTGAAAAAGAGAAGTTCTCCTTTTTTGGCTGGAGCGTTATTTCCTTTACAGTGCAGACATCCGTGTGTCACTAATATTGCAACTTGTTTCTATCTGGAAACCAAAGTTGAAGGCAAATTGCTTACTTGATAAGCATCCCGAACACAGCAGAAGCCTAGCTTTTTACATGCGTCTCGCAATCTTTATTCAGATGCGGAACGTGTGCTACGAAACAGTATAGAGCAAGGCTGTGCCTACCGATTTATTGCTTGGCCCACTAAACCTCGCACCAAATGCTTAATTAAAATTAAGCCTTGGGGTCGACTAATAACTTGTACCAGATATAATAATATTAAGAAAATAATGACAACAAAAATAGAGCTAGTCAAGTCACAGATCGATGTACTGGCTCCACAAACGAAGTTTACAGCACGCTCATGACAAACTATTAGTCAGTCATAGTCACTAGACCAGTGATTTGTCGCATGTTACTTATGCGAATATAGACAAGAATAATTCACACATTGACGAACAATTTATTTTTTAATCATATATCAAGGCGATGCCGTCATATATTTTAACGCACCAATTTGCATTTATTTGACGGGGTTGTTGGCGGGCTTGGGGTTTGTCAAGCTTCTGGCGGAGCGGTTATGCTGGCCGTTATTTAACGACCTTTGGTACCTATAGGAAAAGCTACCCTGGACACGGACGGTGTGTATGGTTCACGTAAGTTGTGTAAACAGTTCTTTATGTTTATTGTTAAACAAACCAATCGCCATCTATGCGTGGACAATAAATTTAAACGTTTAAAAGGCCGCCAAAGTATAATTGTTGCACAAAGCGTTATTTCACAACTGATACCCTAAAAAGGCACGATGCCGTTATTAAGTTTAATGTTTTTAATATCTAGAGTTTATCTAATCAACCACTATTAGAAACGTTTTGTTCTGTTACTACGGTGGAGCTTTTTAGCAATAAACATAATAAATGTAAGAATATTGTGTATAGCTGAAACGCGACCTCTATACCGAATAAAAAACTACATTGAAGGCGCTTACCGAAGACTTTTGATGTTTTTTTTAAAACACTATTTGTTTTTAAACTTCTACTAGAGACGTTAGTTTTTGTAATTAGATAAATTTGCTTAAAGCAAAAGATATAATGATTGATACGTCTTTTAAACACTCTGTGCTGTTTGGAAGCTATATTTTGTGGCAAGCAAGGTTCAAAAGATAACGAAAATATAATATAATACATAATTATATCCGTCCATTATCGTTAGATTAGAGTGTACCACCTAAGTGTACATTTACGTTGACCTGAATCTAGTTCAGCCAACCGTATTGTATCAAGGTCTTACCTATATCAGTGGCGAAGCAGATGAGTAGTGGATATTGCAGGCGGGCCTCAGTGTCTCAAGCCGCAGACTACCATGGTTTTCTGCGCGTATCTGTGGCCTTCAGTCCAGCAGCGAGGTGTGACCTGGTTCTGCAGTGCAGATCCCACCGCTGCTGCGAGAAAATGTCAGCAACTGTCGTTCGATTATGCGCAAGCGACAATTCCATATTCTCTATTCATCAACACTATCCCGTTATAATCATCATCCATTCCTCAGCCTCATCTAGAGTTTTACGATTCGCCGGGCGTGTATAGACTCAAAATGGGTCTGCAGTACCAAGTGGTTCAGGCACGGTCACGATCAACAGATAGGGGCATTGGCTGTATTTATGAAGCGCAACTAGTTGTTTAATTGGAAATGTTTGATTTGTGCTTATTGGTAGCTGCGAAAGAACCTTGATAGCTAAGAGTGAAAAATAAATATGGCAAGATAATGCGCATTGTCTAGGAATTTTATCTTTTCAACGCTAAATCAAATAATTATGGACAAGGATCCAGTCGTTTAAGTGCAGAGGCTACTTAATCGTTAAATGAAAACAAACATGAATCAAGGATTTTTCAAAATATTTATTTGCCGCCTACATTCCAGTGCACGTACGATGTAGCTTGCTGGCCAGTCATTCTCTCCATTATATTTGCTACGCGGCACGTTTTCTATGCTTACAATAATTATTTTCTATTACTCATGCCATATCGGTGTTAGTTAAATAAATGGTCGGACATGCATTAAAAGATAATGCATTAATTCAATAGTAATCACACTCCTTAAACTTCATACGTTTGTATACAATGTAATATTTCTTTTCTACCTTCGATTCGATCCCATATCATAGATTCTTTACGCGTACGACACCGATAGCAATCGCTTTCCTTAAACTTCAAACACTTACTTGACACTCTCTTTAAGTTTTGTACATCTATTTAGTATCATTAACAATGACTCTAGTTAAACATCGGACACTAGCCCAACCTCAATGGCGATAAGTTTTCTTAAACGCCGTATCGTAATATTATTCCGGTGGAAGTTCACCTGGGGCCAGACAGATTTTTGAGATGTCAAACCAGAAAAAAAAGCGGACAGGGAATTCTACGCAAATGACGCAACTGGCTTTACGATCTCCCAGAGCAACGTTTTCTGCTGATGCGACCGCTGAAATGGATAAAGGCCACGAAGAGGCCTCGATGCTAGGACAAAGTGAAATGGCGTCGCTCTTATGGAACGCCAACTGGTGCGTATGTGCGAAAACTTTTATTAATTCACAATTAAAATCCGTAACTATACCAAATTGTTCATATCCACGAAAAACAAATGTACGATTGAATTACAAAATATTTTTTGTACAGTTGACGAGCACTTTCAAAGTAACCAATTTCCTATTTTTCTTAGTTAATGCTTTTTAAAGCTTTCTGTTTAGGTTTAGATATAAATAGATTTTTGATTGAAGTTCGCAATTTGAACTTAAACTTCTTAAAAAAAAAAACTAATTTTACTTGAGTAGGTCATAAATTGACATTAACCTTTGTTATATATAACGTACGATTCCATTTGCAATTCAGTATTGCGCTCCAATGGACTCTGATAATTAGTACAAAAAAAACCAAATAAAACTTGCAGATATAAATTTTAATAGAATCGGAACTTTCATGCTTAAAATTTTCAGTGCGCTACATATAATAGATACAAGTAGCTTCATAGAAAATTCACAGTAGGGTGCTTCATTGGATTGTTAATATTGAACGCTAGGTTTTACTGAGTGCATTAGATTCTGTTGACCTACAACTCTCCAGCCTCTTAGTCGAAAAATTCGCACGTCAATCCGTGTTTATCACAGGAGCGTACTCAAACGCAGTGTAGATTTGCTTCACAATACTCGTACACAATTAGACCATTTATTTAACTGGCAGGCAGTAGTACCATAGAATGTTTACTAAGCATACCTCATCTTCCAATAGCTCGTAGACCCAACCTTACACATTGCTAACAGTTTGCATCGCTTAAACGATATGATCAAATTTAGGATCGAGTGGATAGCGACCAGAAGGGATCTCTATAAAACAGCAGACCCCCACTTGGTCATGTTTATATAGCATGTGTTCAATTTAACCGCTCAACAAACTAGAAAAACCAAGAGTCACATGCAATTTCCAGATACTCTATTGACCAGCATCTGATGGATTTGCTGGTTGTATCGACTCAATTGTTTGAATTGAGCTGCTTTTTCTCGTAGCCAGTTGTGCAAAGGATACGCGCATTCACAATCGAAAAGGTTCTTTCTTTTTCTATCCGGAAACTGTTCTTCGATACACGTTTGCAACACTCCGTCAATCATCTATCAACATAACAGAGAGCACAATGGAGATAAATTTAGCTCGCGCCCAACACTTAGCAGAAAGTACGAGCCTTCTATGCTGTGCGTCCGCTCATTGTTGTGCTTCTCCTCCGGCGAATTGGTGTTGTTGCCGCTCAGTCTAGACAGTGTTATCGGGGAATCACTCTGTGTGAAGCGGCTGATGCTGGTCGTGTCTTGCCTATCTGTAAGTCGTAATAATATATAATCACCTTGTGCTTGTTTGTGGTTATAAGTGGTCTGTCTAGGCCCCGTGCTGTACTGACGAGACCCTTCAGTGAAACATCAGTTGGGGACCGCTGACCCCGAGGTCCCGACTGCCTTGAATCATGTATAACGGAGTCGGACTACAGACTGCCCGAGGCAGCGGTACCAATGGGTATATACAGCGCAACCTCGGCTTTGTGAACCGCAATCGGCAGCAAGTGAAATACAACACTGAAGAAGATATCGAAAAATTGGACCGCCAACTCAATAGCAAGCCAAACCTTGCCATTCTGGAGCATAACCGCCGACGGCAGATCGAAATTGAATGTGTCAAATATGAAGAACAGATGATGCAGCAAGGTTACGCTGAAGACGAGGTGCAGAAGAAGGTTGTTCGGTACCGCCAGAAACTTATGGAGAAATATGAGAAAGAGGCGGATAAGCGACCGAAAATCGCTTTGGACGAACTTGGGAGACCACTAGCCAAGGAAAGCCACGAAATCGCCGAGGCGAACCAGCTAAAAAATGACAAACTCCGTGAAGCGTTCGGAATCGACAAAGACTTCATTGATGGTTCGTCTTTCGATCAGAATGCTCGGAGAGAAAGACTTGAAAAAGAACGCCAAGAAAAGGAGCGGCAGCGTGAAGAACAGCGCAAACTTCGCGAGAAGCGGGGCTTTGTTGATATGGGCGCTTGTGGGGACACTGAGGAAGAGGGAGCAAGTCCACCAAAAAAGAAACAAAAATCAGACGAAAAAAACAAAAAGTTGTCGAAAAAATCGAAAAAGAGCTCCGTTGCGGCTGCACCAGTCAGCAGCAAGAAAAAGCGGCGAAATTCTCCATCGAGTTCATCATCTACTTTATCATCGAGTTCTTCATCGGATTCTTCTACGTCATCGGGTTCATCTTCGTCAAGTTCGACCTCCGACTCGTCGTCTTCATCTTCGTCGTCGTCGTCTTCGTCATCATCGTCCAGTGACTCCGAATCGGAGGATAATGAGGATAAGAAACGTAGGCGTAGGAAGAATATCAGAAAGAAGTCATCTTCGAATAAGGATAACAGCAAATCGGCGAATGAACAGAATAAGAACAAGAAGAGATCGCATTCTAACAAAGACAAAGATAGAAGCAAAGAAGATCATTTGATTCGCAAAAAAGACGAAATCACAGCGCATAGTAAACTCCGCCATGTGTCGCCTGCTAATGGCGGTGGAAGAGGAGACGAAAAACGAAACCGACGAGTAAATTCTGCAAAAAGTCAAAAAAGGCACAGGCGAGACTCTTCGCTAGGCCAGGAGGCCAAACGACAAGTAGATGGTAAAGGCGATGGCGGTCGTTCTCGCACGGATTCAAGAAAGTCGCCTAGTCGACGTGGCGCAATTGAGGAAGAAGTTAGTCATTGTAACACATGGGGTAGTTCGTCCCCCCAGGCCGAAAGATCACGTGCACGTGATTCGAGTGATGAAGGCACAAAGGGACGTCTTGATGGTACTACTAAGTCCAAGAAGAAACACCACAGTGAAAATAATAACACAACCGACCAAAGAATACGAGGGGGTAGTCCATCGCCTCACACCCACAGAAGGAGACATTATTCTTCGAGCGATGATGAGCCCTCGAGAAAGCGAGATACTGATAAGTCAAAGAAAAAACATGACATCGAAAGAAATAAGGAAGAACGCGCCGTCGAAGAATACCGGAAGAAAGACCGCGCTCACAGATCGTCGGACCGAGTTAGAGAGGACCGTGAACTTCGAAAAAGGAGCAAATCACCCCAGATCCGAGGGCAAAGGCAAGATTCGTCTAGTAACGATGGTTCTGATTCGGACCGTGACAAATCTAGGATACGACGTGAAGAAAAACAAAACAAAGAATACTTGAAGAGGAAGGACCGCCATCGGTCTTCCTCTGATGAATGCAGTGAGAAGTCTAGACGTGCTGTTTCCGGTGAAAGAGACGTGAGCCGAAAGCAAAAGGGGGGTCGACCTGAAACTTTGAAAGATGAGCGGACACGAGGGAAAAATAAGGATTCGCGGCGAAGCTCGTCCAGCGACAAATCCGATCACAAAAAAGATCAATGGCGTGATCGACATGACGAGAGCTCAGACGTTGAAGAACGAGGCCGTGATCGCTTTTCGCCGGATAGCGTCTCAAAACGTAGAGAGAAAAGTAATCGTCACGACTCACCCGAAAAGCTCTCCGAGCACCGGGAAAAGAACCGTCGGAATACTACTCCGGAAAAGCGTTCAGCACGTAAGGACAAAAGCCGTCGCGACTCTTCAAGTGATGAAAAAACTTCTTTTAACAATAGCCATCGTGACACAGCGCATGAAGATATTGACGACAACCGTACCGATCGACGGGAGAAACATCACCAATTTACATCAGATGATGAACATTCGGATACCTCACAAAAAGGTAGTCCTAACGAATCTCCTGATGTGCGCTCTGACCGTAGCAAAGACCACCGTGTATCATCTGTAGACAGTGGAGATGCGAAGAAGAGCAGCCATTTTGTTTCGCCTAAGGGGGATTCGAGCCGGATGGAAAAGAATACTGGAGCAGCTTCATCCGATGCTGAACACGAACAAAAAGGCTCACGCGATCAGGACCGCGATAAGCACTCGAGGATACATCGCTTAAAACGGAATTCCTCAGAAGAAGCTAAAGAGCCCAGCAGGACTGATGAGGTACGGCCAGTACAAGTCGAAGTATTTGAAACAGTTGAAGTTCACGAAAATCCCAATAGGGATCAAGAAAAAGATATGAAATGTAACGAGGACAAAGATTTGTCACGTGAAGATGACTATAACGTTGAGGACACGCACCCGCGCAAAGAATCGGAGCAAGAGAGATCGGATATCGAAATGCGAGAGGTTGAACCGAAAGAACGAACTGAAACGGTGATCCCCGAGGAGCCAATTATAGAAAGAGATGAAAGGGATGCGAAAGAAAAGGAATCACTTCGCATAGACGACCAGCGAGAAGCATCTGAAGAACAACAACGAGACAAATCTGAGGATAAAAGTTGTCCAGAAAACAAGGCAGCGGATCGACGGCGCAGCGAATCTCGGAAGAAGTCGTCTAGCCCAGTCTCACCTTCCCGAAGGCACCGTAGCTATTCTCGAAGCCCACAAAGAAAATCATCGCCATCGCATGATGAGCGCCGTGCCAAATCTCGAAGCCTGTCAAGGTCCCAGCAAAGACACTCCCGCGATCAGCGGGATCGCAGCCGCTCACGAAGCAAAAGAGAACGGAGTAGGTCTCGAGTACGACGGGATAGGAGTCGATCACGTGATAAGAAGGAACGCAGTCGATCCCGAGGCCGGAGAGACGGAAGCCGAACCCGATTCCGAAAAGATTTGCGGAGTGGTGGTGGTAGACGCGATGCAAGCCGATGCCGGGGTGGAAGGAATAATCGGAGCATTTCTCGTGACCGGAGACGATCAGTGGAGCGGCACGTTACTCAACGACGGCGAACAAGGTCGAGAGATCGACGTCGACTATCTCCACGTCGACGTTCACCGATTGCGCGATCGCGTTCTCCAAGACGCAGGTCGTTGGTAGCCAGATCGCGATCCCCGCGACGAAGGCTTTCCCCAGCCAGGTCTCGTTCTCCTCGTCGGCGATCGCCCATGGCAGTAAGAAAGCGTTCCCCGGCGGGAAGATCCCGCTCACCGCGTAGACGGTCTCCAGTCGCTCGGTCCCGCTCGCCACAACGAAGACGGTCGCCAGTGCGACGACACGATTTTTCGCCACGGCGACGGGCATCACCCAGACGTCGATCCCGCTCAGGCCGACGCACGCCGCGAAAGTCGCCTGCGATGCATCGTCGCTCCATATCTCCTCGTCACCGCTCACGAAGTCGTTCCACCTCAAACAAACAACGGCGCTCAGCAGATAAGGTTCTTCCTAAGAGTTACCAGGATGCCAATCCCGACCGTAGGCAGAATCGCTCGGATGTATCTTCCAGAAGGAGAAGACTGCCTGCTGCTAGAAGGGACAGTAGCAGCTCATCGGACGATGTCAGTGACGAACATGAAGCTTCGGCTACAAGAAAAAGCAAGGCGCAACAGTTGGGAAAGCCGCGCCGACGTTCTTCATCGACATCTTCATCATCATCCGATGACAATGCGGTGCCAGCAGCAACTAACGTAGATAAGGACAAAGCCAAGGAAGAAGCCCCGAAAAAGCCAACGCACGACGGACCCTCATCAACAACGTCATCTTCAAGCGATAATGAGCCTGCAACTGAAGGCAACAAAATCGATGGCCGAAACAAAAAGGGGAGTAGAACCAACGGAAAGCCAAGAGATCGAACCGCCTCAGCGACAAGCTCTTCTAGTTCGACTTCGTCATCGTCAAGTTCGTCAAGTTCTTCCTCAGAGGACGACATTAACGACGCAGGTGGCGGCGGGGACGCTGCTGTGTGTCGCAACAAGAAACACGTAAAAACCAATAAGAAGCGACTCGTACACGCCAGCTCATCAAGTAGCGAGGAGGAGGAGTGAGAACTACAGATGGAACCTGGCAAAATAAGATCAATTTTTCCAAGCGTGTTTTGCCGGACGCCGATGCGGAAAAATTATTTCGCACATATAGAAAAACGAAAACACCTATTGAAGTGTTGACCATGAGAAAGTGGATAGAGCGAGAGGGAAGTGTATGCGAACGAAGTATGGGGAAAATTGTGATTTCTTGCATCGCGGCCAAGAAAGAAAACTATAACAATAGAATGGTGTCTGATGCAACTTGCCACCACCAACGGGTCAGCTGGATCCCGGGAGAAAAGTCCCAGGTTGGCATGGTCAAACTTCTCACCAAATTCAATGACGGAGCGCACATTAGCATGGAGCGCTGAGCAACCCGTGTCGATATATAAAGGATTTCTTTGTTTCTATAAAATATCTACTGTCGTACGGTTACTACGACAACTATTACTGTAAAGGATCTGTAGAACGAATAATAAACAATATAAATCTATATAAATATCTTTAACACACCGTAAATAACAAGTAGATATCTTGTATTACATACAAAAAACACTACATCGTACACAAACGCATACATTCATGATAAGTAACATTGAACACTGACACTTAAATACACATCATTTAGTTCGATACGTATTAAATAAACAAAAAATATATATACTTCGCCACTTAGTTTGATCCGTCGATTTGCGCATCAAAAAAAAAACATTATTCGTGTATAATGTCTAAAAACGAATAAAATAATGTATTATAGAAAACGCTGTTATGTTTCTTAAATGTATTTAGGTGTGTATAATAAACGTAAAACTAGACTACCGACGTTTAAGCGATAATAAGGATAGAAATATACTATATGGCTAACTAAATTTTGACATCTTCAATTGACAATTGACTTCTAAATTAAACTGAAGCCGATATCAAAATACTAGTGTTGTTAACGCTGAAGCCATTCCGATCAATTTGTGGCACAGAGAAAACTTTTTTATAGCAAATAAATCGCAGGACATTAAGGCAGGCAGTTAGAAGTTAGCGCGCAGTTAGAAGGATATGAAAATATTCGATCTGTCTCCTTAGTTATTATTCCTAAAAAAAATATCTAAAAGATTTTTTTTTATAATATTAGCTTAGTATTATCGTTCAGTGTGATGTCATGCTCATTTCTATGATTCAAGCGTTAAAGCAAAAACTTGTCGTATCAGTAAGCCTTCCGTGTATTCATCCGTTCTAGTATACTCGTAGAATTTTACAAACTCAGTTCGTGGTGTCCTATGGTCATTAATGTAAATTACACAAAAAATTAAACAAAATTATGTTACTATTATGGAAAAGGAGTAGTAACAAGAAAAGCGTATATATAAAAGACGGAGCAATTTATATAGTTTTCTTTACTCTAAATTTCATGAAACCACAATCCTGACAAACCGGCAACAGCCGAGAAAGGTAGTATGATACAATTATTTGACGCATTTCTATGCAGCTGTACTGTGCACGTAGAGCACCCGAAATTGCGCTTATTGGCGACGTCTCAAACCAAGCAACTATAGAGGATTCTTTGTCTACTCGATTGCCTACGTACTATTCTTTATTTGTAATTTTCCTCACCACAACGATATTAAATGAGGCAATTAAGAAATAGCCCAGCTAACTTCTGCCGCTTTGGTCACAGTTAAGAAAACCATAACATCGTGCGCGTTGCTAAGGGAAGCTTCTATGGCTACCTGCGAGAATAGGACAATGTCGCTCAATCTGCGGCGTTAGCTATCCGTCTGCTTGAGCTGAACGTGGAATGGAGCAGCGCTCGTTTCTGGGTGTCTGTGTGCATGTTCACGCAGGTGTCCAGGTTATGCCAGCCATTGATAACGAGATCGTACGCAAACCGCTGACAATGAGAAATAAACAAAGGGAGAGGAGTCTTCGACAAGTATTCGCGTTCTGGCTCTGCTGATTGAAAAACACTGGTCACGAATCAATTTAAAGGAAAAAAGATTGTGGCGTTTTTTGGAAGTTGCTCATTATGGCGCCACCGAACACCAAAGGGAAATAAGCAGTGACTAGTGCTGCTCTAAAGTGCTTTGAATGAAGTTGGTCTTGATTAGCACATTTTGGGGATTCGTGAAGAACGACCATGACTTTAGAACAGACAGCCTGTGAAGGTAAGCCTGAAATCACCGAAACCGTGATCGTGGAACTAGTCTTATATCCTGCATGCGATTGTGCAAGATTGGTCTGTAGTGGGTTGATAATGAAATACTGCTGTTTATTTGTACAGTTACATTTTCAATAATTTTAGGAATGAATCTAACAGTTCCTCTTCAATTAATTTTTGTCGATATTTAAATAAAAATAAAAATTGTTTATTTTCTGAGTCACACAAAAATGCGTGAAGTATTTATAATAGCAAAGATTTTGATACAGGTCTGTCAAATCGTTTTAACTACGAAAAAAAAGGAAAGTTTCTTTTCGAACGTCTGTTGTTGAGGTCTGGCATGCAGTGCTTGTTTCATTGTAGATGGTTTCAGGACGTTTCAATTATACCGATGCCTATTCTGCTATAAATTATGAGCTTGGTCTAATAAAGTTTTACGGTAAAATGTTTCAGTGTGTAAGAAAATGCTTTCACATTTATCTCTTGAACTAATTGTAGTTATATCTTAGAATTCGTAAACTTCTTTTTGGGCACCCAAGTGGTACTATTTAATACTTTTCTAATGAGATAAACCAATGACCCTTGGTTACATTTTTTTAATTGTTTTATTATTGAACGGAGCTGTAAATTTTTTGCTTAAAGAGTCCTATAATTTACATCTACCTCAAAGATAGTCCTTAATACTGCACCTACAATTGACAACTTGAACGTCAGATGACTTTTCTATAGTTTTTAGTGAACTATTCCTGTGTATGATTGCAGATTTGAAGGCGTTCGAGCGCCGTCTGACCGAAATCGTTCAGTTCCTTCAGCCTCCAACAACGCAATGGAGAGCTTTGCTGGCCTTTGTTGTTTTGTGTGTTGTTTCTGGTGAGTAAATGATAAGCTGAAATTTTTTTGACATGCCGACAGTAAAAATAATAGGTTTACAGAATACATCGTTTCAAATTTTTTACTCGTGCAGTTCTTATTATAATACAATTCCGTTAGGAATCATTGTATAAAATAAAAGACAACCCAAACGCTCAACTAACACTCACTTATATAAGTCAGAATTGATACATTTAATATAAACATTTCTTTCCTAATAAAGAAATTCATATATTCTTATCTCTAAATGATAAGTAATTTTGTTAAACCCGCACGACTACATTAGAAACTCTGCTAGTATGTTCTTCTCCATTGTAACTTTGATCTTGTTTTGTTTCCAGGTGCAAATATGTGGCTATTCGATCCCGAAACGTCGCGGGTTTCGCTGTCAGCTTCGCTTCATAGCCACTGGTTCTTTTCCTTATCAGTAATAACGTTAATGGCGTTATTTGCATGCGGCGTTCACCGGCGCGTCGTGATGCCGGCCATTATAATCCAGCGAGCACGCAACGTTCTCGAGGAATTTAATATGAACTGTGACGATACAGGAAGACTCATACTCAAGCCCCGTCCTCAACAGTGAGCTCCAGCATTTCGTACACCTACAGTGCACCCATGTGCTGCTTAACTTGTTCACAGCTGTTAAAAAAACTGTACAATACCTAACCTGATAAACACATAAAAAGTATTTTAAGAAATGCATATTGAACTTTCCTTTTAAACGAACGAACGATGTAAATACAGGAAAAACCAACGACTCAGAAAAGTATGGGCCCGCATATTACCCAAGTATATTGTAGCATGTCCAGGAACAGTGAACGAGCGGCTGATAATCGGTGTGCTATTTTCGTGAAAAAAGGAAATAGAAATTAAGGGAGGAACGAACCCACGATTATGGTGAAAGCCGCAATTCCGTACAGTCCTTGGCATGTTTATTTGATAACGTAGCTATGCAGTTTGGAGCCTTCGGGAAAAGGCAACCAGAAGCAAAATTTTAATTTAACAATTTTCATATCTCTACTCCACATTAAGTAAATATTGGAGGCGAAAGAATTTGTCAGAGAGATCAGTAACATTAATAGAAAGACAGGAAAAAATAAAAACGTAAACATATTCAGCGTTTCCTTTCTATCTCTCCATCTGTGATAAAATTGCATTGAGCGGTCGGCTGATATTTGCCTGACTCCAAGGAGCGAACGATTGATTCTTGTTGTACTTGCACCCGTAACAGTATATAGCATATGGATATTACCGATCATATAGCGGACAGGCAAGAGAAGAATTCTGAAAAAGAAGTTTAAAGAAAAGGGCATTAAGTTTCCTGAAGACAAGGAAGCAATCTTTGAAATTCTGCTATAGGGAGCGCAATATTTGTTAATATAATATATATAATAATGTTATGTAATATTTGTTATGCTAAGCATGAAGCTGATGTTTGTGATATACAAGAGAAAATACGGGTACTGGCCATATATGATTCATTGTGAACCTAACAGTAAATTATTTAGTTACAACATACTTAAACCGCTAATTTAAGTGGTTCAAGCGAACACAGTTAATTAATAAGGCGTGGCAATTACCTGAAGTGATGAGGTAAGCTATAGAACTATTAGATTTCCTCAACAGTAATGTTGCACGAATCAAGAGATCTTTACTATCGCTTGTATGGTACAAAAAGCTATTTTGACACTGTAAATTGAATTAACTTGAAATTCTTTACCGCAGAACGTTTCGGGCAATACCACACAGTAATCATAGCAACGCTCAAATGGGATGGAAAAGAATGAAATGAAAAATAAAGTCCTTTTTGTTCAGCCAAAAAATATTAGGTAATCCTGTAATTTCATATTTCTTGGTTATTAAAAAACTACGAGGACACTAAGAAGGTAATTACTAGTTGTGTTTTTTAGATTCTACATGGAAATGAAATGAGGAAAATATACAACCGTGAAACGTGAGCCGGCCGGCCGTTGAAGTCTTTAAAAGTCGGTATTGATAGCTATCATTATTGAGCAAAGACCCTTTATAACGATTTTTCAGTTTGACAGGCCTCATAAACTGCTCTCAATTATACTCTTGAAAAATTCCCTTCAACAATTTTTGAATTATTTGGTAATCCATAAACGCCAAGTAATGTCAACAACAATCTTCTCAATCAAACTGCTAGTCCGTTCTCGTCCGCCACACTAATTAGCATCATAATGCTTAGATGAGGGAAAGCATTATGCTTGCATGCTTTATTTTGAGAGACAAAGGTAATCAACTATTGAGCGATACTGGCTACAGAAGCTGAAGTTCGAGCTCCAACAACTCTGCATTATTAAAAAATTACCCATTATTTATAATTTAAATTGAGATAAATTAAGGTCACTATCTAATGATATATGGATGGAGTTTAGAAATAAACTGCTGAACATGCATAATTTAGTGATTTTAAACGTATGCGCAAACTTTCATAATTTTTATTCGTTTGTTGCACTTATTAGCTATTATTTTGTTGTATTTTGATATTATTACGTATAAGATAAATAATTACTATAAAATTATCTCAAAATATATAGAGAAAACACTTCATGCACAATTTATTTACAGCAATGTAGCTGCTAATAAGCTAGTTAGTATTTACTCTGAAATCGCCCAGCTGCCAAACTTCATAACAAAATTTAACGCGCTATTTTAGGTACCTCAATAAAGCGTCTTTTGTCATCCGGTGGGTTTATTATCGAAAATCTTCTGAGAATATGCCAACTACCATCAAAAAATTAAATTTTAGGCAATGCACAGTATAGAACCCGAGGCGCGGGCACCGGAATGGCATAAGCTAACGCTCCACACATGGAAAAGAAACACCAAAATCTGCTCGAGTACCAATGATAAACGGCAGAACAGACTTGCGCTCATAGGTGCTTGCTTAAAAGCTTAGGAAATGTAAATGCGACTACCAGGTATACTCTAATTTGACTGAAGCATATCTGTGTGGTTAAAAGAAAGTCGGCAATGAACCTATCGGCAAATTACAAAAAAGAATTCTCGGTCTGTTGTCTATAATTAGATCTCGTACAGGTCGCCCTTGGTTCGTATCAAGATCTGCTAAGCCTTTCTTTTTCTTTTCCTTGTTCCTGTTTATGGCAATTGCTATATTTTTATCTATGGGAATTTTGTGCAGGTTTTAAATTATGCGCGACGTTTTGTTGATTTTTTTTCAATAACATGAATTACTGTGATGCAGTTTTATGGATTGATGATATTAGAGACAGCAACATAAACAACGAGATTATGTAGTAGAGGGTGTCTGTATATGCGCGTGCTAACAATACGACGTTGTTCACTAAATAACGGTACTTCATTTAGTATATGTTAACAAAACTCCTTTCTGATAGTTATCAATTAAGGGATATGTAAGTCAGGATCCTTGAGAGGATGTTGCAAACGCTGACATAAATTGCCAATGTCGTTATTGTTTTATTTTTTGGGATTAGCACATAACTCCTATATCCTCGTAACAACCAAGACTGCCTACGGTACGGTAGAGAAGTATTTCGAATAAATTACGAATAAGAACTACAATGATATTATGGTGATCAAGTGTATAATGACTCTGCAGTGAAGCAATATTAAAAACCATTTTAAAAAGCATCAAGCGTCAATTATGCTCCTGAATCTCATGTTGTATCCACTTAACACTTAATGATGGCATGCTCTTTTAAGCCAGTTTCTATTAGCACCGATGTCTTTTATTTTAGATAGATGAACTATGAATATTTTAGACTGATGAACTGGTATATGTCCATTATGCTCAATGAACGCCGCTATATGCATAAAAGGTTTAGTGAAGCTATCTTTTAATCAAAGAAATTTCTTAGACTGGCCCATATATTGCAATCGCATATTAGAGCCGTAGGAGATTTTTGGATCAGACAAAAAGGAGAACAAACAATTTACAACAATAAACAAAAAATTACAATATAACATTTCGGTTTACAACAAGGTATTATAACAAAACAAAACCTATACAGATGGTAAAGGTATCTTTCGATACAGATTAACACCTAATTATCTATGAAGATTATCACTTGTTGAATCCTAAACGATCCCTAATACGGTAATAATTGAGGTTTGCCTGGGACATCCGATGTCAATTGCAGAGCAGGCATTAACAACTACTGTTTCGCCTTCTGCTTCATAATGCGCACTATTGTCGGCCAGGCAGTAGCTGACACAATACCTAGTTAAATAATGCTATCACGTACGATGATCGAGAAGACGAGATAAACTTCTTTGTGACTATTTATACACAAGCAGATCTACGCGCAGCAAAGATATCAACAGCTGCTGTTTCCAATTGGCTTTCTAGTATTGCGAATGTCAGTATCCTGATCGGTTGCGTTTTTGTGCTTACGTGCATATATGCTGGGTCAGATACCTCGGTATATGGGTCATAAGGAACTAATAGGCTGTCACCTGATAGCCCAGATTGTCTCAAGGCCCCCTTCTGGAATAGACTGATTAAACACTTGCGACGCGCAAGCTGACGTTTTGTTCTACAACTGATGCACGTCAGTAGCCCTATCATTGCATATCGTATTAAATGTTTTACACAATATCATTGTTGGGACTGAGTGATGTAATTTTATAATGTTAACCCAGTTAAGGTTATATGATATACCCGTGTTTCTGTAAGAAGGTACCAATTGAAATCACTCGAGTTTTTTTTAGATATATCTTGTATATACTAAAACAGTTGAAGCCATGCGTTTTAATATGATAATATTATTACGTTTTAACACGGATATATATATATATACATATACATATATATATATATACATATACATATATATATATATACATATATATATATATAAACAATTAAAGCTTCGACTTGAGTTTAATACACCGGGATCCTGAGGAATCAAAGCATTCGTAGGTAACCTAAAAGGACGGTTGAAGCAGTCAACAAAGACACGACTTGTCATTGGATGGGTGAGTCATGGAGGCAAAGTAATACAGCTATTATTTCAGTATTAATTACTGATCTTCTTTCATACAATACAAATGTAACCTACAACGTGAGGAACCAAGGGCCACATTATGTATCCTTTCAAAACTTGGTAGGTTCACGTCTTTTCACAAGCGTATTTATAGATAAAAAAGAAAAGGAAGGTATAATAACATAATATCGGCCAGTAACTATCTGGGTACATGTACATAGTTCCCACTTCCTCAACAGCATACCGAATCCCTTAGAAGGGCCTTACTGTTAGAAACTATGCTTCACAGTACCTGAATATCATGTCTAATGACCTCCTTGATTAGACGTCTCATTAATAGGAGGCATCGTAACCACCCAGTTACAACGCCATTATCTGGAACCGTTTATATGCGTAATGTATCAATGTTCACCAATATCATTGCGTAAATAATGATTTTTCTGTGCAGCAAAATAACATATGCTTCATTGCTGTCATAACGCTTAGTAATTATCACGTCACAGCCAGATATGATGTACTTGATCGCTAATGACCCAATAACACCCATCGCTTGACCATTTCCAGCAAAAGATGCCTAACGGCCGCGATATCGCACCAGAGTCATGAATAGAATCGTCAATTTAACTACAGATCGGTCCGTAGTAGGCTATAACATCAAGAGCAACAAAATTAGTAGCAGGAGAAGTCGTTGCTTGTTCTTTTCTATAAACAACTAATTATCTAATAAAATCGCTTTTATTAGGCACGGCGACGAAAACACTAGAGAATTCCATAGATTTGAGATGGTTTTAGGGCCATCTTTCTACAAAATGTTACCCCTTTGGTAGTGTTCTTCTCCATATACTACTAATCCAATTCAAGCCACAACGACAGCGAAGGTTATTTGACATTGCAGGATGATCCATAAAAAGTAAGTAATGTACAGGAAGGCAACATTTCGATAGCAATCTAACCAGTAAAGATTAAGTAAAACGTAGCTGACGCTGATGTTGGCATAATGCTTATCTAGACATGTCGATACGTGTACGCACTTGCGGTGCAGATAGCAGAAGATAAATGTTGCTGAAATCTTGTCGCATCAGTCTCACTCTGCTAATAATGACAGGCGTAATGAAGACAACAAGGAGATAAGATACGGACATTATTGATATTAATATATGAGTGAATTGACTAGCATCGAATTAATCTAGATCCGTTCTATAATTCCGCACCTAATCGATTACCTATCTGCAGTAAGCAAGACAGATCTTCTTACAACAGAATTCTGTTGTTGTTACTGTTATTTTTGTGTTTATTTTTTTTATATTGATTTGATCTGTTTCCGTGTGAGAAAAACAGAAACGGCAAGTTGCCGAGTGAATCAAACCAATGTCCTAGTAATAGGTAGGTATCCTTACACTCTCTTTCGGTCTCTTTCGTTGTGTGGCTCTCCGGTGGGAAAAAAGTATTGTAGTATACAATACCTATGTAGAAACAATACTGCATAGAATGCCGTGTTTTTAGGTGATACGAAAAACCTATATCGTTATTACTAACGTATTATATAACGTTTAGATATGCAGTATTTCAAAATTGGTTATAAAACTTAAAAAGATATAAGTATATGGGTAGATCAAAGCGTTTTTGAAATGACAAATTGTACAACCCCGCCTTAGTTTAGAAGAAAATTCGTTTGTGAACAGCTCACTGGTGCGCGGAAACTTGTCGCATACAGAGAATGTAGGGAATTGCCCTCATCTTCGCAACCATTATGTCGTATTGCGTTAGGACAGATCGCACGTTCAAGGATGTATCCCTCGTCCATGTATCTCTCGGTCAATCAACTTCATAATGATTAGCTAAAGTGCTGGGTTCTGGTCATTCATGACGATTCTTCTATTTCGCTCTGAAACATCGGAATGTAGTAAAATTTGCCTCTAAATAATTTCCAAGTCTACATATTTCAGATATCAGATGATGATTTCATGCTTGTCTAGTAAAGCTGAAATAAAGCTATAAAGTGATATTATTTTTTCTAAGCTATAAGTTTTCCACCGACTTATGTTGCAGTCGTAACACGTTACCTTTTTTTTTTAATAAAAATTGACAGCCTCAGGATGGATTAGCTGAGACGTGCATCAGATAAACAGAAGCATGTTGGGCCTTCAGAATTGTACGCGATAGCTTACAAGGACTGCTTGTAACGTTACATAGCTTCTCGCTTAGCATATGCACTTGAGGAGGCATGTGATAATTTTCGTCAGTATACTAATAATTTTTCATAAACTCCTTCAGTAAGAAGCAACTGTCTCACTGTAGTGAGTTTTGTGTTGGCATCTTCTTTCCGAACGAACAGAACTTAAGAGACTTTCGGCTCAGCCAAAACAAATCCAGTTACTATTATGGCTTCAGAGGTGGCGACGAGTGTAGAAAAGCTTTTAAGGCGATCCAGAACGTGTTTATCTACAACATCAATTCTGAAAGCTAAACTACCTTTACTAATAAAAGGCTGGATGAGCTTGGTCAAAAAATAATCAGGTGACCGATCTTGTAATTGGAGAATATTACCGTGAGAATGATTAGAAGTCAACAATTTTACAAACCTATACGCAGTTTCCTTTAAGCTTACTTTAACATCAAAATTCTCAAGTGAATTCTTGTGTTTGTCCATTAGGGAACAAAAGATGTGATTCGACTGTAGCATCCGGATAAGGTTTCACATCAAACTCACAAGCCTACAAAGCCGCAGTTGCTAGGAAAGCCTTTGAGGGAATAAGTTAAATTCCACTAAGTTGGACCACTGCTTACACTAAGTAGAATCAACGTCTTTTTACTCTAAGATCAGCTGTAATTTTGACAGTTTTATTCAATTTACTCTGAAGTCTGAATTGGCCTAACATCGATAGTTATTAACAGTTATCACACTTCTTTAGTTTATTCTGTAAATTTACAAGTAAAAAAAGTTACTTACAAAATGTACTTTTTTCTATATTATAACGAAGACCACGCCTCTGTATTTTTCAAATTACCATAACAATGAACTAAATGCCGAGCTATAAGGCAAGACCAAGATGAGAGCAGTTGGCCAAACCATAAGGCCGGACTAAGGACTACAAGTGATTCTACGGATAATTCCTACCACAAACCAACAACATGTAACTTGATTTGCGAGATATATGCTACCCTGCCGGAAGTTTCCGAACTTATGACTGTTAAGTCATCGGCCGAAAGACTTTCACTGTCGAAAATCTTGCATGGCCTGAGGCGTTTCATCAAGCTAAGCCGGCCCCTCTCATAGTTGTTGGTAAGGCAGAATAAGCTAAGACTGTAAATCCTATAACGATTGTTAAAGCTTCACAGAAATCTGCAGTCATATATGACACTAATGTTCAGCTGCTACCGACCCCGGAAGCCATCAGGGCCTTAAGTACAATACTAATAGCTCAAGAAAGCCCTGCTAACATTCAGTTTAGCAAACCCGTCCAAGTTATAGAGAGCTCACAAAAACCTGTTTGTACGTCGCCTACGATCGGTATTCAAAACCAGAATACAACATTGATCACCAATGAAGGCTTTAACTCAAATTGCGTCCTTCTTTTCTCACAGCATCTCTATTCTATTATACTAAGTTGAACCCGCTAGGTTGGACGATTGGTGGCCTTTTCTGATTCAAATCCAGGAAGCATAAATCTTGTACCCATCGAGGTTGCACCTCAAATTAAACCACTCAATAGTACTTGAATCCGAGTGATCGAAGCTCGTTCGCAGATCTCTGACGATATTTCACTGAGATTTGGGGCAGTTGTACGTCCAACCACGGACATCAATGTGGTTTCAGTATTTTTTACGCTTCTATTGGCTCAACAAAGGCGCTATCAAATCATAGATTTAAACATGTCGACCATCGTATCCTTAAGCGATAATTTTTCAATGTCTATAATTGAGTTTAATTCTCCCCAAACAATTTTCGGTAGAGAGTGTCTTCAGTAGAACAACGCTATTCAGTTCCCAGTGGTGGCTGTATGAAGACTGGGTGATTCACCGGTTGACTTAGCTAAAAAGGATTTCTACTTGTATATCAGATTTGCTACGAGGTGCACATGCTCGAGAATAGGTCCGTTCATAAAATTCTCCTTGAAGCTCCAAGAAAAAACACCAACGCCAACTGACGTATGCTGATATTGCACCTACGGAAAAACAAGCTCCAGGTCAATCGACTTTTTAATGTAATAAAGTATTATTAATAATAGATAAATATTCGTTATATTAAGCATACTTCTTTTTTTAAGATCAGCATGGCGGTCAAAAGATCATAGCAAATGTTAAATGCAAAAGTATTACTTTCTCCCATAATATTCAGAGCATACAGAAACATAAGAACAGTTAAACGCAGTTGAGTTCGTAGTTTCAAGTAACGCATCTGTATAATGTGTAGGTATAATCCTAAAAACTAGTTTATTATTATAATAAGAAGACATGTAGGGATGCTGAGATGACAAGGTGTTCTTTCAATTCGTGATTCTCGTAAATATGATTGCGAAGTTCGTTAGAATATCGACTAAACGAGCCAGTCAGTCTTTGTATATTCAGATCGTGGAAGAAATGGTTTGCCAACGACATCGGTGCTTGTTCAGAATTACATTTCAGATTCTCACGAGACAGAGGTTTGAGTTCTTCGGTATGGCGTTAGCCGGTGGGCGACGAAGGCCCGCGAGCTACAAGGCCGACGAACAGGTTTTTCACCCAGAGATTATGAAAGCATTCGTTGTTTAATGAGCCGACCTCACCTCCAAGTAATAAACGTATCGTGGCTGTTAGATAATAAGTATCGATGTAATCATTAATTTTTGTGCTAGTTTCGATTGAAAAGAAACATGTTACGCCCCTTATACGCGACGGTCACTCTAGCATATGTCTTACAGATGATATACCTTGTGTTTACAAATGCATGTATCTGCAAAGCGAATTTACCAATGTCACAAATAAGGAAATTGCACTAAAAAAACTGACTTCTTTTTTGACTCCGTATGGTAGGATTTCTGGAGTGAATATTTAGTTCTTGATAATTTTACAAATTGCGAATACCTAACAAAATTATCTTACCTTAGACCCGCAAGCTCATATCTACATGTAGAATGGTTTTAGAGCGCATTATGTCAAACCACTGTATTTTAGTTATTATTTCGTTTTATAAATGCGCGCAAATGAATTGGGTACATAGACCTCAGAACGGGGCGGCTTAGAATCTTTTCTATAGAGAGTCTTCCAAAAGAGCTTATAGCAGGTCAGCCTGTCTTCTCCATCTAATTGCCTTTTAAGAGGTATATAGGCACGAAACTTACCGGACCCACCTGTACCCTGTGGGGGTCCGCAGGGCCAAAGCAATTGTTTCAGCGTTTTTCAGTCGACGATCCACAAAAGCTATTTGAGCAAATTACCCATCTAAGTTACCAAAGCTTGGTTTAAAACATATGTAAAATATAATAGAAGAGTAAATTTCTAGGTATGGCTTCATACGGACACGAAAAAGGTTTTGGTTAATAAAAGAAATCATGAAACCTAATTTTACGCATTTGCTTATTATGAAACATATATATAGTAACTGCGACTAGGTGAATAGCTAATTCATTCAAGAATGTTAGAACGTAACACAGTAAGGGTCGGACTGGTTGACCGACAAAAGTGTGATTCGCATTTAACAATGAAAATGGCCTAGCCCTTTTTCTTGTCCCTTAAAAGTGGTCGATGTGCAAACTGTAGCCACATAAAAAATCACACAAAGCGTACAAAATAAAAAAACTACCTCAAGTGCGTGTATGTACACACCTAAGTACGGTTGTTCGATACTAATGGGCTATATACACACCATATGTATTTGCTAACTGCAGTTCTTGTTTTTCGTTGTTCTTCCTTGTTACTGATCTGTTGAAAGCAATATATAATAGAATACGATAATGCGAACTATGTATACAACAATTTCGTGTTTCGTTCACATATAATTCTACTCCAAAATCAATTATGAATGTAGACTGGTAAATGAACATAAAAAGAAGGTTTCGCTGGGAACAACACAGACGGTGCCCATTTCCGCTATACGCTTCTCCCCGTCACCTAACCATTTTAGCAAGTGTAGATAAGTTACAACCCTTCTAATCAAACAATAGATGTTGCATTGTGTAAACAACAAAGCGACAGAGGCGATAACTCCAGTTTTTTGGGGGAGCAATGAAACAGGTTACAAAAGCCGTAATATCAATCTTGCAGCTTCCTTCGCTCGATTCGAGCGAATTTTTGGTGAATGTTCACTATTTGCTGAACGTTTGGCGTAATCTCTTAATTAGTGAGAGCATCGGCTCAATGCTCCGCAGAGCCACGGTCACCAACGGTATGCCAATGCACGCACCAAAACTCCCTCCAAGACACGCTACGACACTCTCGTACTGTAATAAGCAGAAAGAAATAGCTTCCGCTACTGCTATACAACAACAATGATGCATTTCAATCAACATGAATTGAATCGTAACTGTATATGATATTTGCTGAATTTACTTGAAACCATCTGCAGTGACACATGCTGTATATATGGTGTTTGATATCTTTAGAGCGGAAATTCGTGGCAATATTGTATGTTCTAATCTTGGAATAGATTATTGAATGACATCTTTGTCTCGTTTAAGAAGTATAATAATAATAATACGTTTTCACCCTACTCATGTTTGAGGCCACCTGTCAGTGCGTACCGTAACAAAAGGATGATATTTCAGGTGCTCAACCCTGTTGGTGGCAAACCTAAGCGTGACCTCAAATGAAAAATCCCGTTGTCGTGGTGGGAACTCGCGCATCTCGGATATTCTTGCCAGACGGAGATCGTACCGAAGTTCGCTGCGGGTCGAAAAACAGTTGTCATTGGGATATGACCTGTACGTTTTAGACAACCCCTACCATTCGTCAGCTCTATAAAAAAAAGCGGATAAAATTCAGCAAATTGTGACCACTGAACTGGAAAGATTAGTTGACATTAAGTGACGTCCTAATAATATATATGATTTGGCTAAGCTAATCGGAATAAAGAAGGACACCTTGTCTTCTACTTACCGGCATGATGCGCGGCATTTCTCCAAACAATGTTTGTACTTTAACGATTTGACCACGAGATCTCTACAGTATTCGATGCCCTTTGAGGCGTCCGAGCAGATAGTATAGTGGGGTGCATAGTTCGCAATGAATTCATGGCCATAAGACAAGCAATTGCACATTTCTAGCTCGACCGAAATGACGCATTCTTGAAGGCAAGACTCCATCGTATGAATGCCGCCGTTGAAGAAATCCTGCAATTAGTGTAAATAGAAATGCCCGCTTCATGCTCTTTCTCTTAATTATACCCAATCTGTACCAATTAGAGGCTTTATTTAAACTGAGCTATCCATTATATGCCATTTTCGGACACTTCTCAAACGGATTTGCTCACCTATTTAGCCAAACAAAATATAAACACTTATTCGTCAAACTAAATAGAACGCTGCTCGAATTAAATGGATAATAAGATTTAACACTGTACCGAATGTAGAATATAATTTTTTAGAATTTGAGCTTTTCAGTAAAAGGCTAATTGCATCATGTTACTTCACTCACTCTATGCTCTATCATCATGTAAAAAACAAAGGTCTTTGCGACTTGACGTAGCACCGCTAAAACGGCTTGGCTCACGGATGATCAATTGTAATATTTGACGTAATATAACTGAGCGTGCACAACTTGCAGAAAAGTTTCTCAGTACTTTTTTGTATAAGCGTGCGTCTGAATTTGACTCAAAGGCTGTCTGACTTAGTGAAGTAAAGCTGTCATGAACATATTTCCAAACAAGTTAACATACGTTACTAATTGCATATGTTTATCTTTTACAATCCAGCATCAAATAACCAACGGTCAATAATATTGCTGTCAATTATGAAAAACTGCACATGCGAGTTATCTTAATGTTTGTTCAGGAAGTTAGGTTCTGTTGTGATATTTCTACCTGCGGTCCCATTGTCCTGTAATCGACACAAGCGAAGTTGTAGGGAAGAGGCACACCCTCCACCACCTGCTGTTTTAGAGCTATCGTGTGACGAAAGCCTCTCCGAAGATCGATTTGAACGCTCTCTGTCATAGGAACAACACCGCTTTCTAGGACGATTAAGGGTATACGGTCCGTACGGACCAATTCCATAGTACGCTCTGGACGCATCTGTCCAAATAGCTCCAATTCTGTAAAAGATGTAATTAAAAAAAAGGGTACAAACATGATAGAAGTCAAGTAGAAAAATGCGCTTGCAAAAATCAATGCTATTCAATGCTGACACACGATTTAATTGTAAGGGCATATGAAGGGCACCGCATGAATCAAGGTCAAATTGGCCGAAAAACTCTGATGTAATCATTCTTGTTTTGCCGTTGTCTGCCTTTAAGTTTGTGAAAGGATACGGGACGGTGCCTGTAAAAGCTGCTCTGTTTGAAACGAATACGTGGACAATAACTAGTCAAATATTCTTAGCTTATTGCCATGTTATGTAATACAGCATACCGTAAGTCGAAGGGTGGCCACAATTGAGCAGTGGCCCATAGCGATGAATATCTAACGTGTAGCACATCTGCAGAGGGCGTCTGAATGTAGTCATTTGTAGACTAAAACAACAAGCATTTCCTCGTTACTTTGCACGTATAAAAGTAGATACTTATTCAACGTATTATGAAAAAGGTAAGCCTCCTTTACGCGATCTTCATAAAATCACAATAAAATGCATACAACGCGAAATATTTTTATGGTTAAGCTAAGCAAATGTTGGCATTATACTATCTGTTATAGCAGAATATTGGATTTTTATTAGCTAGTCTCAGTTAGTCTCTTTTCGAACTTAACAATGCGTATCAATGGTTTTGTCAAACATTTTATTATGGGTTAGTGGTCTGCTAGACGCGATCATTAATGTCTCACAATGGTGTACAGTCCACAGTTTCGTGACACTCAGGATCACACGATGAAAGGCGACATCTATACAGCTCGTTCGGACTGTAATATAAATGGTCAACAATTATTGTGAGGTTAGATACGTGCATCGCAGTCTGGCTTCATATTAACATAAATGCGCACACACGAGACGAGAAAGAACGAACGATGCCGCTAATATTAACGGTATCACGTCTCCTTTGCAGTTATCGCCGCGTAGCCTTCAAATAAAGATACTTCTATTCCCCATTGATTGTTATGATAGTACTAGAGCTTTTATTTCAGTAGACAAATAAACACTATTACGCACGAGAAAGCAGTCTCGGAGCGAAGCTCTGGCCGAATACTTTGCTGAAAGAAGGCGTACATAACGATTGTCTGAAAAAGACATAATTGATTAAAACTTATAGAGATAAGGCAAGAATTGTTCGCCGCATTGAACGTTTTCGTATCTTCAGTTAAGTTCTGTGAGTTCCTTGCGTATCTGAGTTGCGCGGGCATTTGTGCATATACTTTTCAACTTACCATAGCCTTTTTTGTGCAATTTTTGGGGTACAGTTCACACAAGCGAGTTTTGTTTGTCCTGAAATATAGGATGAAACGCGTTGCTTTTAGAATAGTGTTCTATAAAGTGTCTTTCTACCAATATTCTCTTGCTTCACACTTCCTCTGCACTCTAAAAATTATAGATACGATCCTTTATTCAGCCTATATTGACGATTTTAAAGCTTTGGTAAATTCTCTACATATATCCTAGAGACATACCCGTAATTTAGCAGTGAGTACACTTTTCATCCTGACACATATGGATTGATGGGTGACGAAATAGAGTTCAAGAGACTCTGCCGTACTACTACTCTCATGAAATGCAAAACGAATACCTAGATCGACTTAACTAATTACACGTTATAGTGCCTTAAGTATTCCTAAATTCTACCAGAAGTCGACACAGGTCGTAACGCTCGGAAATTGGAGTTCTTTGTTGGGTATTTCCTGTTGCGTGACTAGCGTTTTTCGTTCCATGTAGTTACTGTACAGCTGCGACACCTGGCAAAATTAAGAAAAAAGACCATAGTGCTATACGTAAGGACTACAACACAAATAAGACAATGCAAATCAAATCTTTCAAACCATTTTTATTCTATTGTTATTGATCACATTTATTATTATTGGGTCCTACGGTGCCATTTCTCATAATGTCCTGCCATGGTGACTACATACGGTAAAAGCGGCAATATAGTTTTCTATATGGCATTATTTTTTACGGTTATTACTAATGAAAAATTAAATTTCACTGTACATTTGAATTTTCAAAACTAGTAATGTTTGTACTAGTTGCAGAACGTAATTGCCAATGGATTTACTCAGTTGGTGTTGTTTCAAAATTAACTTATTGCGTTCGGTGATGGTCGGGAAATACATTGTTCGAAGACTCGGTGACAACTCAACCAAACGTCTCGGCAAACTCGCAAAAATAAACATTTGGACATTATCGGGTTTTTTTTTTTCAATAAAAAGAGTTAAAAGAGTTACCGTTTACACAGTACTGCTGGTTATTGCACCTGGTTATATATACTATGCTTATGAGAAGTACGAAGAGGGACATCTTCTATGATATTAGAACTACTTTCTCCTGTTTAGGTAGAATTGTTGTCAGATGAAAAACATAACGTAACGTAACAAGAGTTAGAACGGTGGTTTACGTGGCCATCATTTACATTGCCACCACTTCCTTTGAAATATACAGGAAGGTTCAGCTAACGGTTTTAAACACTCGGAAAATCGATGAAGTTCCACTTAACCACAGAAAAACAGTTGTGTGTGATTTAATTATTTCTTTCATAGTCGTAAGGGGTCATGAGTTTGACTTTCACAACGACTTTTGACGACGCAACATGTGGCGGGAAAGTGAAATTAACAAATAGATAAATGAGAATATCGGACAGCTGGTTCACGTATCCATGTAATAATCACTCGCCTGTACATAGACGCTTGTCCAGGAGATAACGTTGGCTACGAATACGCCAAGCCACTTGTATAACTTAGCCATGGTGGTTCCGACCGAATTGTGACTATCAAGCAGGTAAACTGGCCAGATTTATACGTGTCTTTGAACTGATACTTGTCTAAAACGATCCAAAAATCGATAATGAAGATCTTGCGCAATCGAACTACAACCACTATAAATTATACAAAATTGATTATACAAAATTATCTCGAAGTCTAATTAATCAATTGGACTTGGCTCGTGAGAGTGGTAGGTATGTTGAGATGACCAATGCTATTTAGCTAAAACAATAAATTATTGGTGAAGAGAAACCAACAAGGACTACCATTTAATTATGCTACAGCGTGTTCAGTACCGTATTAGTAATATTACGCGGCGGAAATCGGACGGGATAAAGATAAATATCTAATATGGGGATAAATAAAGAGGCTGCTTGTACCGGATTCATACGGCTGCTGTTATATATATATATATAACAGCAACATATATATACTTAAGTCGTACAACTTCTCTTGGAGATTTATTGATTGATATCTCTCTCGAAGATATACTTTCTTAAGTAACAAACCTGTTGGAGTTCGATACTTTAAAATGACGTGAAAAGCACGACTGTGATGATGCTCTAAAGCAAAATCGTTATAAAAGTATCCGGAATGTCGGTGTGTACCGTCGAACTAATACTTCTATTTATAAACATGTCGATAAATGATCTCTAAATTATAGATAAACAAACCTTTCTATATTTCACAGTAATTGACATTTTTCGTAACATACTGACGATGTATCGAATTATTTATGTTGGATCGTTTAGTGGTACGCTACATATGCTACTGTTTTTATACTGTATGCTAAGAACATCACGTGGGTCTGGCAAAATATAATATGATACACAGGCATCGTCTTTAACAGAAAATAAAAAGCATAGAAGACGACGCAAGAATAGCTTTTCATGAGGAACTTGTAACATACCTTATCTCCGCTTCATAATTAACTATGATTTATGTGAATCTGAACTATCTACGGAAAAAAACGGACAGTATATATCTAGAAAATGTATCTGGCGAATAGCTAAGTTTGTCGCTTTCTTTTTTGTTGCGAACTGTTACTTCCATACAGAAGTCTCAGGTTGAAATGTATGACGGCGCGTTTATGCCAATAGCTCCACCTTGTGTCTATTCGAATTTTGCCGGGCCGCCCGTTACGCGCCAAACCTGGTAAATGGATTCATTCATCATTGTTTTCGTTTTGCGCACGCGGGTTACCTCATCAGTGTATGTTCTGTTCGTTCGATTGCGTAAAGCGGTGAAGTGTGTAAATTTGCGGGTTTGACAACGCCGAATTCCGCATCATTGATATTTGGTGACAGAAGTAGCTGGTGATGGCGGGGTTTAATTTTGGTGGTTCACAGCCGCCTGCCAGTGGAGGTTTTGGATTTTCTTTCGGCTCGAAGTAAGTGAAAGCGCCCAAATTCTAGGTATCATCCTAACAAGCGCGGAGTTACCGCGAATATCTCATTTCGGGTTTGAGGTAATAAGCACTGTCATCGATAAGCGTTTATCATGTATTCCAATACTATAAGAAAATTGGGTTAACTGGGAAGACAATGTACCGACACCGTACGTGCTGTGACGTGACATGCTTTCTTCTAGCCATTCGGTAACGTAAAAGAAAAATCTTTTTTATTATAATTCAATCATATCTTTAAAATCGACACTCTTATCGCTTATAAAGTGAATTTTTTATGAAATTATTTTGTAAATAGCCACATTTTTCTAGCTACCTTCCTTCGAAATATCTTTTCGTTTGGTGTCATCTACTAATAATTATAACCGCAAACGGCGAGCCACTTGGATGAATAATCGACAATACGTTAACAACAGTAGAACTTCGTTGGATGATAGACACGATAAAGCTGGATTATGATAACACCATAGGTAGTTGCACCAGATGATGTTTGTAACCATCTGAGGCAAAAACCAGTGTTCAGTGACATAATATATGTCAGGAATACAGAAGTTACTATGACAGACAACTAAAGAAAGACGAAGGAATTTGAAACCGAAAAATATTTCGGGAATTTCACAATAGAGAGAGAGCACAATATCACGAAGGAGACTTTTTGGAATCTTTTATGACATATACAACATCCAAATATGTTCTAAATACACAGCATCATTATAGTTCAACACTTGTATATATACACACACATACGTTTTGGGAAAGTTAGAAAGTAACTTTTATTTGAAAAATAGCCGTTGAGACTTTGGCCCTTAATGATCATTTATTAATTATTATTTTATTTTATTGATTGGTCCATTTATTCATCATAATAATGTGGGGGGTTCATAAATGTGAACGATGATTAAAATAAGCAATTTGTACCTGTTATACCTTACAACGTTATACATTTATGCTTCATGAGCAGAACAACCTCGACGAATCTGAGCATTGCAAATTTAAAACAATAATATTTTTTACTTTTGTGTCTATTAATAAATTAAGCACAAGTACTGCTGGTTCAGCCTTCGGCCAACCTGCCGTGTCTGCACCCTCCACTAATTTCACGTTTGGGTCGGCGACCGCCGGAACAGCTCCTAACGCCAATCCGTTCGGTACTCCGTCCACCACGGGCGCTGTTGCCACAACAGGTGGCTTCGGCGCATTCTCAACTCCTGGCGGAGCTACTGTGACACCCACATTCGGATCCAGTCAATTGCCTAGCGCGCCGACTTTTGGGACCCCTACTCAGCAGTCTTCAACGCCTGGTTTTGGTAAGAAAGAAGCTTTGTTGTTCTCATGGTACCTAAAACCCAGATAAATTGATAATTTGTGAAGCTACAGACGCACTAATTTGGGGTCCGTATTGCGACTCAAGCTTAACTTGTATCTAATATATAGAAAATAAGAATACAAGTCCCGCATAATTTCAAAGTGAGCTATGAATACTTTCTGTGTATTTACCGCCGTTTAGGACAAACTGCGACTTCACCGTTTGGCTCGAGTTTGGTATTTGGTACTCAACCGGCGGTCTCGTTTGGCGGATTTGGTCAGACGCAACAGCAGCAGCAGACACCAGCCAGCGGAACCGCATCGAACTTCACCTTTGGCGGGGGATCGACTACAACAAGTGCTTTTGGCGCACCGGGTGTTGCGGCTTCAACTGCTCCAGCGTTTGGTACATATATCGTTTTTGCTCTAGTGTCATACACCGATTATCTCATGCCTATTCTGAAAGGAGTAATTGGCAGCTGTTCCAGGCATTTAACGCACTTATCTAATTTGACGTTTCTTACTGATTTTCTCCCGTGTGCTGACCGTTTTGTCGCCACAGGCAGCACAACAGCCGCTCCGACCTTTACATTCGGACAAACTCTACAACAGCAGGCGGCTCCGACGCAGCCGAACTTCTCGTTCGGCTCTGTAGCGCAGCCGGTAAGCCAGGCCTCATCGACTTTTTCGTTTGGTCAACCGGCAACATCAGGTGTCCAAACCACAGCTTTTGGTCAGCCCACAGGTCAAACGATGTCGGCATTTGGTCAGAGCCCAGCATTCGGCCAGACCCAGGTATCAGCAGCGCCAACAGGTGCATCAGCCTTTGGCCAGACCACTGGGACTAGCGCGTTTTCCTTTGGAAGCAACACCACCGCAACCAGCGCCCCTCAGACAACACCACTGAATTTCGGTCAACCAGCTTCTACTGCTCCTACTCCAAGTGGGTTTTCCTTTGGTCAGTCTCCCGCTACGCCGGCCGTGTCCGCGGCGCCGGCAGGTCTCAGTTTTGGTGCGTATTGTAGTTGCTCATAGCTCCTGTACTTGTACATATCACGTAACGTAAGCTGTGGTGACTTTGTAACTGCTAGATTAACGTTGGTACAGTGAAAGGGCTCACATGAGAATTCAAACATCCATTAGACACGAGTATCTCCAGTGTCTAATGGATGTTTGACAAGTATATCTATACTGCAAATTTTACTATAGAGGCTTGTAGAATTTTCGTGCGGCGCTCACTCCTAGATATAAAATGAGCTACAAGTTGAACCAACTGAAGCGCTAAATGGAGCTGTTACTAAATAACCGATCCCTTCAGTTTTTTTTATCAGCGCAGAATCGGTTAACTTCGCCAAGGTATTATATTCTTGTATGCCATCCTATAGTCTATAAATAATATTCAGGTAAAATGGTCTCATTTTCAGGACATCTCAAAATTAGCTCCAGAGCTTTGGTCTTACATTTTTATATTGTATTTTTATAACTGTATGATGAGATACCAGAAGGACAGCTGGCTTTGTTGCAGTTGAATTCAGATCAATTTCGGACATCTGCAATTTTGGTGTTAGTTTTAATTGTTCTTTGTTAATATCGCAAGGTTACAACCAAAAGCCACGTTTCTAGGACGTATTAAGATTATGCTGAAAAAGTTTTTGTTGAAGCCCACATGTAAAAAAAAGATCGTAAACGCGTCCGTTGAATAGAACATTCGACTAGGAGGTGCCATAGGCGCCTAGTCAAACACAGTCCGTACGGTGGTTAACAATAAATAAGGTAAAAAAGATTTTGAAACTGCTTCTATTGTTATATTTGGAGTTGTGTTTAAATAGACTCGAAGCTTATACGTTAGTAAATGTACAAATTTGCGAACAATTTGTGAGAGCCTATTTTAAAATTGCCATTAAATTGTGTGAATTAGATTGAGAGAAAATCTTAATTAGAATCACTTAGCAGCCGTCCAAGAGCAAACAAAAGATGAAATTTCAATATATAGCTTTTTTATTTCATAATGAAATGTGAAGAAGCTTATCTAGATATATGCGCAACTCTATTGGAAGTATCCGTTTGATGTCTATTTCTTGTTCTATACATCCGGACAATGGTAGGGCAACCGGCTGCCAGCGCAGCACCCACGACAACCACTGCATTCTCATTTGGGCAAGCAGCTCCTGCGACCACAGGAATAAGCTCAGGTTTCTTTGGCACCCCGAGTACAATGACGACTGCATCCCTTTCGTCTTTCGGTGGTTTTTCAACGCCAGCTATTAGCACCACCGCCGCGGCACCTGCTACAGCTACCGGCGGTTTCTCATTCGGTACGTGGTTTCGTAGTTTTTGTTTGTTAGTAGTGTTCATTGGATATCTTTCCTACGTTCAATAATTTCGACACCTCTGCCTCATCATAGAATCCGGCAGCATAAGCTTGTCTTATCCTGTCTTTATTATGCTCCTATTTATTCAGGCAATACGCCTGTGCAGCCGCAGGTAAGCAATGCTCCAGCTGCTCCGACAACGACAGCCACAGGGATGTTCGGTCTATCAGCAACTACCACCGCTCCCACACTTGGTTTCTCTTTTAGTACGCCTGCCCAGGCGACGACTGCTACAGTCACGACGACGCCGGCTGTTCCTGCAGCCGGAGGTTTCACATTCGGAACGTCAACTGTGACAACCACTGCTGTTGCTTCTGCGACTATTAGTTCACTGTCGTTCGGCCTTAATTCAGCCACACCGACAACAACATCAGCAGCTTCAGCTAATGCGCTTGGCGGCACTGGGTTAGGCGCAGTAACGACGAAACCAACACTCACTACCAGTTTCACTGGTTTTGGGACACCAACGACAGCCGCGACCGTTGCTCCCACGGCCGGAACAACAGCTACGACTGCCGCCTCTTCAATACTTGGCGGAGTAGGTCTAGCAAATGCGGTTAGCGGACTGGCGACTTCTACGGCGATGGTTGCCACCACTTCTACTCCCAGTCTGCGCGTTGGTGCCGCTATAACGTCAACTACGCCTGCGGGCCTGACGGCAACAACGACAGGTGACCTTCTAAATGTGAAACAGATTTGTGATCTCGATAAGTAATAAAAAAGGGAACAAAAGTATAAGAGCACAAACAGTAGAGTAGTAATAATAATGATAATTAGTAATAATAATAATGGGTTTTACTTAGCTTCTGCAACCATCACTACAACCGCGGCAGCCGCCACGACGTATAGCGGATTCACATTTGGGGTCCCAACAGCACCCGTCGCAGCAACGACTACGTCTGCGACGACAACTGTCGCACCTGCCGCTACTCCAATAACAACAGCTGCTTTAAGAACCTTCACCTTTGGTAATCTTTTTTTAATTGCACATTATGGGCTCTGTTATATGGAAGGAGATGAAGCTACTGAAGCTGACTGTGTATTTGGCTTTAATTTGGTGGTAGAATTATGCGAAAGTTTGATGCAAGAGCACCGATTAAACTTTTCAAACTCAAGGATTAAGAATTAAAAAAAAAATTTTTATCTTTAACAAGCTGATATCTGGGTAATAGCTATTATCAGATATGACCACGTAGTTTCACTAAAATCGGCTTTTGTTACCATATTACGTACATGAGGTGAACGAAAATGAATTGTTGAAGTTGATCGTAGAAGTTGTTCAGACTCCGTTTGCTCAAATTTTTATCAGGGTTCAAGTTTCATAAATTAGTCTCTTTTTACCATTCTCTCAAAGGTGTCTATGTTCATTCTTATTGTTATGTTTTGTCAATAGGGGCTGCAACGACGACGGTGTGCTCGAGTACGACGACGACGGCAGTGGCAGCAACTCCGACGAGTGCAGAAACGGCTAGTGTCGCAAGTGGTGCCACTTCCGTAAGTGCAACGCCTTCGATTTTTGGGACTCCGACAGGAACCATATCAGGCCTTGCTGCTGCTACTGTTAGTACATCCGCCCCTACTAGCACGGCCTTAGGCACAGTGCCAGCAACAACCATAGCAACTTCTGGTGGTGAGTTGGACGGTGGAAAGCGCAAGTTGGGATTCAGTACAGTTGGTATATTGGGTGCTGCAATCAGAAATAGATATACAGATCTAACACTGACGACTACGATTGAAAGCTGTCAGCAGGTGATTTAAGCACATAGATTGTTACACGTTAGGCTGTCTATGCACATATGATGCTACATATTACAAAATAAAAATTCAAATAATAACTATACGGCACTAGCGGAGAAAGTGTTGTAGGATTTTCTAGAATCTATAAATTAATTAAGTTTTATGAGAGAATTAAAAGTATAGGTTTAGAAATGTTTGTTTATTACTGAGTATGAATATTCAGCTATTAACTTTTTGTTTCTCAATAACCAATGCTGTAATAGAATTCATTGGCAATTGATGAGAACACTGGGCAACGACATTTCGGCGGTACAACGGTACGCTATTGGTATAGTCAAATTAGTAGTTTGAGAATCGTAGGATCGGTAACTACATTTAGAACGAGTTATTGCAATAACCGAAGTTTCTTGTCTATGGTGACGGCGTGTTTTAGGCAGATTTTTCAATGTAATAGTTGTAAATAAGAGGGGCTCCGCTTTTTCCATATGAATTGAACCTTCTTTGTGGTTTATTATCAGTTTTTTGCCATAGTGTTATACACGTTTCCAGGATTCCTGTATTGAGCAGAAAGTAAGTGCATTGTCTGTGCTTTATTTTACTTAAGACCTTTTTTTGCCTCCAGGTTTTCGTTTTTAAAGTAATCTTGCCAATAATGTTCTGTTGTTTCGGTGAAGGCCTCCTTGCCAGTATTTCAACCAATTTTCGATGGATTCCGCTAGCGCTCCCACCTTTGAAAAACATTAGTTTGCCATTTAACGTAGATTTTTAGCGTTTTCAACGGTTTGTTGTTTAAAACTTAATTGAAATTTTCAACTCGTTGAATAGCCTTAGACGGCCGAATAGTACTGTTCAAGTTGTGTAAGCTTCGATAGGATTGTATCTGAAGTTGATAGGTTATTTTTCATTCAGTTAACTAATTTTAGTCCTTTCCCATTCAATCAAAGAAACGGAAAACTTCTAATCATGTCATGCATTTGTATGTATCTTGGGTACGTGTTTTAGCTGCCAGCGTTACTGCCACAAGCAAAGATCAAACAGTATCCGATAGGCCTGCTACGGTAAGGGATGAGAAAATCCCACTCGAGTTAGAGCAACTTGTAGAGGCGCTGGGTAAACACCGGCAACAGCAAAAAGCAATTCGAGATGAACTGGATAAGGATACGCTTATCCCCGTCGGAAAGACACAGGTAAGCACGTCCGATACGGTCCTAAAATGTTCTAGGGTTTTGAGTATTCTTTTTTTATGGCCATAAAGTATTTCCTGTATAAATCTTCTAAAACCACTCGCTTATCTCTCGAAGTTAAAAATATTATTCTCAATTATCGCACTGTATTTTATTGTAGATGGAATTTAAGCTGGCCTGTCTGCATGGACAGATCTTTTATTTGACCACTGACGTTATATAAACATATAGTGATGTTATATGATAATATTGATGTAAATACAACTTCTAAAAAAGGTATGCCTGGCCATGTTTATTTTAAAATTATATTTACGTAGACTTTCGTTTGTCAATCGTTATTTTATACGCTAACTTTATTATTTATTCGACTAATGTCTTATTAAGGCGGAAATTGAAGAGCTACGACTGCGAATAGGCCGTATCGAGACAGGGGCGCAGCGTATTGGAGGTACATTAGTTAAATTAAAGGACGAAATCCTTAGGGATCGTCAAGATTCAAAGCTGGCGTGCAAAACCAGCCAGCTAAGAGGAACTGGGTCCGCGGCTTTGTTCGAAGATACTAAACAAATTGAATACTTCAATAATATGGTATGTAATCACTTAAGCCGGGTCAACCTGTTCGAATAATCTCACGACCAGTCCATTTTTTTGACAAAAAAGCCTTTGTGAGCTATAATAATTCAGTTATAAAAACTTAATCTCTGATTTATTTCTTGTGCGATTTCCATCGGAGAAATCGAAGATTGTTATACCTTTATCACAACATCTCATATCAAAGATTTTCTTTAATTAATTCTACGACTGCCTTAACAGGTCATGTATTTTCATCAGCGTCTCCGGACGTACCGACAACAAATGGTTGAGCTTCAGGCTCATTTTAAACCATTGAGATCCGGTTTTGGGTCGATGGGAGCTGCCTGCCCACCCACGAATGCAGAAGTAGCACTGATTGTTAAAAGACTGCATGAAACCTTCGTCACCCTTGCAGCTCAAATCTACAATGTACATGAACAGGTATTTAAAACATTAAATCAGATAGAAATTAGTGTGCTTCTTACTCTTTTCCCATATTGTTCATGTAGAATAGATAACTCCACTGAATATGTGACTATTTAATGATCTTGTAAGTATGAGGTCATTACATGAGAGAAATGAGCTTAACAATAAATTTTTCTCTGGTTGCTGAAAAAGGGATTTTTGGAGGGGATTGAAAACAGATTAAAGTAACAATATAATAACTTTATCGCAGTTGTTCTACATTTTCAGTGCTTTATGTGATTCCGTATGAGCTTCTCGCGTACTCAAATCGAAACCGTTCATATAATATGTTTCTTAATTCTGTTTGCTAATATCCTACTTCTTTAATCCTAATATTTGTAGGTACTATATGCCGATGAGTTTTATCAACGAAGGCGAAAACAAAGTAATTTGGCAGGACCTAGTTCTTCAATATCTCTCGAGATTCCGACAACACGTAAAGGCCCTTCACCTGACAAGAGGAGATTAGAGATCGACAGAAACGATCCCATTGGGATTGGCACTTCACCAAACAACACCTTCACCCGTCACAATCAAGTATGTTGATGTTGGTATTTGACTCTGTGCGTCCCTCCTCTACGTAGAGAACAGGCTCTTTCGTTACAAAAAAATTTGTAACCTTGTAAATACAGAATTGCTGTTATAATTGTTTTTTAATCGTGCCAATTTTCGGAGCGTTGTTCTTTACTTTTAAGTTCTAATTTTGCTTTTGTTGCATCTCAAAGCATATACACTGTAGCATCAGTTTATGACCATGGCACTTGTACGTTCTTCCCATGCAGGTGGCCAGTGCCTTGCACAATATTAGCCTTCGGTCGGGACTGGACAGCTCGTTCCAATCAGGAGGTCCCTCTGGTTCCATGGGAGTAGTCTCAATATTCACCCCAGTCCAATCGACTGTTCCGTCAGCAGGAGCAAACGCTGGTCTCTTCGGTAAGCAATTTTTGCTCCTCGACATCAACAATAATTAACCTGGATTCATGCTTTTTGGATTACCATCCAACAAGAATTTGTGACAGACAGTCCAGTATTACAAGGCACATAGTGACTGGTCATAGGAGTAAAATATAGAGGAGTAATTGATTCCGTATATTGTCCACTCAGTTTGAAGGAGCTATCACTCGTTTAGAAAACGTTTAGACGTTTTAGAAAATGTCGCTTCCATTCCATGTTTTTTGCACTGATATATATTAAACAAATTCATATTCAATTACATGGTCATTGGATTCTTTAGAGGTCTAGCTGGTTTACAGATAAAGCATTTACATATGAAAAAAATTGTTAAGAATAATAAGCGACCTATGAGTTAGCGTTGGTATAGATAGGCAATACTAATTTTCTACCTAACGTACCTGAGATACTTAGGTTATCATTAGTTTTTTAGAGTGAATTCAGTACCTAGGTTGATTTTTACGTAAATCTATGACGCGAGTACGCGAGAGTCTCTGTTTCATATGCGCAAAATCAAATTCTCCGTGTGTCTTTTCGTGTTTGTTTTCGTGTTCTTCCTTGCAGGAGGGGGTTGGAATACGAGTCAAACAGCTATTGGTGTAGGGCCGACAAATTTGTTTGCTGCAAATTCCTCGTTCAATGCGACACAGTTTGGAAACTCGCTACAGCTTCAGTCGCCACCTGGAGCCAACAAGCGCGGAAAACGCTGACATTATTTTGTTAAATAACGTTGATAGATCGTGCCCTGAAAACAAAAGAAGTAGGTCGCGTTTTAATTGGAGAAGCAGAGAAGCTTCGTAATTTGTCATTAGACAGACTGAATAGAGGATATTATCAAGTCACAGAGTTGTATACGCTTAGGAAGTACTGTGAACTAACGACTTGTTCATATCTGAGCAGATTATTGTCGAAAATTGTGTAACTGATGCGGTCCGCATGATGGGCTGCAAGAAGAATTGAAATGTTTCCTCGGCGGTGTTACTCTGTTATTGGCGAATAGTGATCATGTTCGATTTCATAGTTCTAGACTGAGACTCTCGTTACACAGCATTTTTGTAAATCAGCGTACCGAAAAGCAAACAAGATGAGGATAACTATTGCAACGAGCGCTGAACACCACACCTAAAGTGAGAAAGATAAAACGGGCCTAGATAGTCTGATCAATTCTTGCACGTGCATAATTATCATTTGTAGATTATGTATGGGACCGAAACCTCTCAACCAATCAATGCCATAAAGTGATTAATTGACCATATTTGAGAAAAAACGTTTTTCTGTAAAGTTTTACAAATTAGTCAACGTTAGCTTTTTTAGCTTATTATTTCGCTTTGTTCATTATGAATTCGAAATGCATGAGACAAGGAGATTGTACTGGTCTTTTAATTTTGGGTGAAGATACTTCTAAACGAATAGAGAAACGATAATCATTCTAGGGATGATTCCGCATAGGGACTTTTCCAAAAGCTAACCAAGCCACGAAGAAAACATACAGATGATGACAATACCCGTCTTATTGTACGAAAGGATGATTGTGTTGAAACTTGAGCAGTGACAGCATGGACGCTAGTATAATTGTGTACGTCGTGCCCTTAACTTCGAAGATTTTATAAATTTCTTAAACTTAAAAAATATGTTTTGCCCTAATTTCTCTAATCCAGTGCTCGATACGAAATTAACTACTCAATATTTCAAAATGTACATGGAAGTATTACTCAAAATGAAGCAGATTCTTATATATAAAATATATTTGTAGATTCGCCGTTGCGTTTTGTATGAAGCTTATTTTCCTTTCGTATTGAGTTGTTTCTGAAAAGTGATTAACCGCTAGCGGCTAAATCATCATAGATAGGTAAGTGCAGCACAGTGAAAAATGCTAGCTTCTTGATTCGATTCAAATATCTTTTTGGTAAAAGTAACCGTACTAGATCTCATCGTTTATTTTAATTTTAAAGATATTTACTGATAACAGTTTATATTTTTCTTCAACATTTGTTATGATCACACGTTTCAAAATAAGATAACGGTGTAATACGATGACTCCTAGGAGTAAAAATCAATGATCTTCGATTTTGTCAATCTTTCCTTCCACCTAGATTTTTATTGTAATATATGTATAGTATTCGACTTGATCATTCACCAGGTCTATTTGATATAAAGTCGAAATTCAAAAAACGATATCATTATGTGAGATTCATGTTTTGCTGCTGCGGTTGGCTAAGTATAGCAAACAAGTAACCAAAATACATTACGAGCTCTTATGTATAGCAATGTACTTATTAATTGGGATCTGAGGATTAAGGAAACACGTCGCATATTGGATTTCGCCTTACTTTGGAGTTAAATTACTTGATGTAATTTAACTCTAAAAGCGGAATCTATCTATGCGTTTATTTCAGTACTTATGCTACTGGCGACCGAAAGACGGCACTAAATCTTTGCCACTAACACCGTAACCTCTGGATGTTAATATATTTTTTTTTAGTTGCAATAGTCAACAAAATATTTTTTTGAAAAACATCTTAATGAATCATATTCATAGAATAAAGCATATAAAAAGTTTTGTTGTACTCCGTCGTTAAAAATCTCAGTCGTGGTTGCGCCTCGGAAAAAGTAGCTGTTCAATCTGCGACTCGAATTTATATTTTAGAAGGGCAAGTTACCAGGAACCGATGAATTTGGTTGGAAAGGCTGATGAACGAAGCCGATTTCTTTGCAAGGGCAGTCTACTTTCTAAAGCAGGAAAAAATTACATTCAAGGCAGAATCATTTAGTGGGTTGGATACAAAAAGGTTACCATATCTGTCAAGCAAGGAATTCGATTTCTTCGAACGCAGAGTAAACGCAGACGATTTACGTTTCTGTTGTTTGCAATTGCCCTTAATTGGGCTATTTCGAACTTAATTTAAATAGTGGCCGCTGCAGTCATGGGCACGACCTTGTCCCATTAGCAGCGTGAAAAATTACATTCTAAGCACTGCGGGTAGAACTAGTGATATTCGACAAATGGTGCAGTGGTCGACTGCCAACGGACGAAGGATTCTGTATCAGCAACCAATCCAACATAAATCAAATTACGTTTCCTAAATGCTTGAGGCTTCACTTCACATAAATAATACGCATAAAGGAAATAATATTTTACGTGATAAAAACCAAATTTTAAAAACAAAATTTTGTTATTTCTATTCGAAAATATATTCGAGTGCTATTCGAAAATCTACGCCCAGCTCAAGCACATCCACGTTTCAAGTTTTACGTCCGGTATTGCCGTTAGGCATTTTATCATACGGCTGTCTCCCAGCACGAAATGGAGTATTTGAATACGTAGGTGCGAACCTACACCACAATGTGCCCCTCAGATAAGCACGCAAGTACGCTACCCTTGAATAACTTCTCGAAGATTAGTACGGATGAATATTATAAAACAATTCAATTAGACCAGGCCAATTGAGACCACGACAGTGATTCCAAGATTTTGATAGGGAATCGTAGATGTACACACGTATCACGCTTTGAAGTATAAAGATGGTCTTCGGTAACTTAAATATTGAACACTAAACTTCTATCAATATATTAATGAAATCACCAAGCGGTGCAACACCGGTGTGAACTTCAAAATTGATGCGCAAGGCGGACTGCTTTAAAACACACTTTCCAACAAGCAAAGAATAAGTAAAAAGCATACTATTAACGACGCAATACTTCCACCTAAGTGCAATGTTAGCATTTGCTGCTGTGAGGGCCAAAAGGTTCACGAAAAATGGTCTTGCTTTAAATATTGTGCTATAAAACACCCGGTTTCAGTTTAGAACATGTTGTTAAGTGTCAACTAAGTCATTCATGTTTTTGGTCTGCATCATGTGGTCGAGATAAAATACATGGTATTAGCTAAACCTATTGTATTAACTAATTTAAATGTAAAAGTGTATGTACAATTTCGTTCTACCCACTATGATAATTACAATGCATAGTATCCTCGTCTTCACTTTTAAGGTGTATTCATATAGTTGAACTTTGGGTTATGTTCGCAAAACTGCAAATTTCCAACAAGTTTAATATTTCGAAAAATTCACGAACAACTAGCAACAGGCTGTGTTTAAAGCTTGCAACTTTCGAAGAATTCAGTTTATAAAGTATCAGAATTTACAACATCAGCAGAGTGGCGCAGTGGAAGCGTGCTGGGCCCATAACCCAGAGGTCCGTGGATCGAAACCACGCTCTGCTAAGAACTTTTTACCTCAAGAGTTTTGTGCTATTTAATGTTTCTAATGAAAAAAACTTTCCAACATGTAGAAAAACTAAAAGCTAGGGATTTAGGGTTCCTTGCTATCGAGGTAAGGGCAGATTTGTTTGCTTGGTTTGCAATGTTGGAACATCTACTCTCAAAACAAAACAAGCTTTATTAGAATTATTAGACATATAAATTAGATATATTAAATTAGATAGATATATACATGGACATTTTCATGCCTGGTAAAACCAACGGAATACAATGACCATATATTGCGGGAGTATACTCTATTTTATTAGCTCTCTCAGAGCTGAAAAAGGAGAAAAGAAATATATCGATTCTATTTCCTGTCGCTATTGTTACGTAAGTATCCCAATGCATCAAAAAATATACCATTACTATATGAGTAGAACATGTCTACAGCTGTGCAATTGCAGAGCTAGTGGCTGTAAGCTGCTTGGTTTTACCAGCCAGCGACAAAGGTAAGCTCGTCCATTGAATATATATATGTATATACTACGTACTGCACTACGCAGTTGTCTGTTAAAACAATCTGTCAATCGTGGGAACGTCTGCACTTAACAGAGGAGCTGCTTTAAAACCTACAATGGTAAATGGATTGTGAATTGTTCACATTGTCTGTGGTTACATCCTCAGAGATGCTTGATGCCAACGATTTCGACCCAATGGCTGTGGCGTGTAGCTACGAGTTTAAGCTAAACATTGCAGTCATATCTGCCATTTTGCATTAATTTTATATTATCCGTAATCTATTGATAGCATCGCAATCTGAAATGATATAAAAAGGCGTTATCGTGACTATGATATGATTTGAACGCAATAATGTCTTTTCCCATTCAAATAAAAATAATGTCCTTATCAGCAATGTGTACTCCTCTATTATAATTTTAGCATTGCAGTGCAACACTCTGATGCAGGCTTAGTTCGATCAAATAATTAAAATGCTTGCCACAACCCCGATGAAAATAGTCTACAACAGAAGGATATCTCTAAGAATTACCCGAACTTTTAGGAGGACACATTTGGCGCGTAGACCGCCGTCGTCTGACCACAACACCCTCTCCGTAGCCACATCATCGCCACAGTTGACTAAGCTACCATATCTGTGATAGCGTTTTCTGTGGGTGCCCGAAAGGAATATCATTCCGGAAAATTTGTCGCCACCAAAATGAGCGTGCGTAAAGCCCGTACGCAACGGCACGCCGGTGTTGATTAGAATCACGGTATCCGACATATTTACATTGAGCTAGGTGCTATGGTCTCTGATTGAGACACTAGGGATCGATAAACCTTATATGATGGTGCCTTTCCCATTTGTTATAATCTTAATGGTGCAGCTGAGTGGTAAGGGTAAACCGATGATCACGTATAAAATAGATCAGAACATTTTGGTGTCGGTAGATTTAATTGGTGTGCGCGAATTCACTGAACTAGGCGTCCTGACGACTAAGTTATTGCTGACTCTTTCGAACGTGAAAATAATGGCCCAACCATACGATTCAGCCATTGTCATCATTCTAGTCCTCGTGGCAAGCGCCGGCCGACTTACTGGCAAGTATCTATGCGGTTACTGTTTATCTGCATGCACTTCATGCAACATCTTAAACAACTGCGTTTCAATGCAGGCTTTCTTTAGTTTTCCGGCATAGGAAGAGTAAATCTATTGCACTTGGCCACGTAAGTTAAACCAAATAGGTCAAAAGACGTATTTTTGCCTAACTTAAGCACGGTTAATATTAATAAGGTGTAAGATCGTCGACGGTCGTACGTAGAACTATTGAAATGTATGCTAATTGGTTTCTGCTATTCCCAAAATAATTTTTCTTATCACAGACAATTTCGCATTTTGCTGTTGTGTCGATGTGTCACTTAGAACTTTATTCAGTTTATATTATTAAACGGTGGACTCGTCATATTTTTGTGGACCTCTCTATTTGTTTCATGAATTTTTTTCAAAATATTAGGTTCAAGCACACGCTACCGTCACAGACACGTGCTAGCCTTCTTTTGGTCTTTCTTTTGGCTTACCGTTTTTTCTTCTTTCTTAATACGATGTTCTCCATGTTTCTTTTGGCGTTCCCAATCACACCCAATCCAGATTCCCAGAACATTTTGACTGCCTTCCGACCCTCGACCACAACCCCCCGGTCATCGGTTATAAGCACTGTACAAAACACTGTCGGCAACTCTTTGCAGAGTTTGCCTTTCTCCTTGCAGAGCATTGTTACGCCTTTGGCACAGACATTGGGCCTGGTTACTCCTCCTCCAGCACCAATCCCCTGGTATGCCCAGGTCATCGAGAGGATTCAACAGTTCGCACGTTACCCACTCACTATACTTCGTAACGGGACGCTCGTACAACTCGTACCTACTCATATCGGGACAATACCTAACGTTCTGCACCCAGCCATTATCCTCCAGATGATGGATTCAATCGCCCCTACGACAACCACTCGGCGTCCATCAATCTTAGGCACTCTCGGGGTCGGTCGTCGTACGACGCAGCCACCTTCAAATGACCTTTTATATGACAATTCGGCGGTACTGACAACAAAAAGACCCCACCAATTGAAGCCACAGTCCCGTCCTCACCCAGCACATACCTCCGAAGACATGATCACAATTCGGTCATTGTTGAACGCGCACAAAAAAATCCCTTTGGTAACGGAGACTACCAGTAATACCAGTAATAGTTCCAATTCTGGAGAGCAGTCCACAGTTTTGCTTATAGCTGAGATGGACGCCGCTGATGAACCTTCGAATGGAATAGCTTTGCCTGGACTCGACAATACAGCCGTGAGAAAGAAACTCAATTCAGAACAACTCGAATAAATGGAGGCTGCAGGCCGACTGCAATTTTTCATCAAGGTTCCTATAGCAAGCTCGTACAGTGAGTTTTTAAAAGTGATCTAAGAATATTCGTAGATAAAATTGGCGTTTCTTATAGTATAGCGGCACTAGAAATAATTATAATAAAATAACGGAAGTGTAGTATAGACTGTCTGAAAAATGACGCAACTCTATGAGGGACCAACTAAAATGGGCCAACTAGGATTGTTTGTTTGTTCTGGTACGTCCTAAGCTTGCAACGTGTACTTGAAAAAAGTAGAAAGATATACACAAAGATGCTTTCAGGTACGGCAATCTACGTTTTATATTTTCAAAGCTGAAATAACAAGTCCATTTAATTGTAAAGCGAACGTAAATACTTTTATTCCAACAACAAGCTCACAGGGAGTGGTAATGTAAAATCAGTTGTGTAAACAAATAAGTAATTAGAATTGCGTATTTCCTAATAGCACTTATAGGATAAAAAAAGTTAGACTGGAAAGGCGCCCATTTTTCTATATTAGAGAATATTAATCCATAGAACCCTCATTCGCAATCTTCAGCCCATGTGGTTTCTTTAGACAGTACCTTTGTTATCTGAGTTGCACGGGGCACACTGATGTCAAAACACATACTGCCTGCACCCAGTGGCTAAACTTCTTCGCTCGTTTGCATAGAGAGAAAAAAAGTCACTTACTTACTCCATTTAGTGCTAAGTTTTCGGACAACGGCGTAAACCACAGAGCATTATAGAAGTTCTGACACTTGCCTATCACTTCGGCGAACAAGTCTAGTGGTTATTTTTATTTGCTTTCCAGTATGGTGAAGGTCGCGTCAATGAGAACGCACAATTTTCACCTAGGGCAGAATGCTGTAGGTAATCCCTTGTCAATTACCATTAGCCTTGAGCGGAATTGGGCGGCTCACAAACCTCGGATGCAAAACGAACGATCTCGTGAAAGCGCTGTGACGGAAACCGCTGACGCTGCCTCACTGATCTGTTATCGTTATGCTCATTTAAATGTGCATATATTTACAGCGATTGGAAATGGTAGCTAAACAGAAAGCAGCCTGTTTAACCAAGCCCTTGCTGTTTCGCATTCGCTTAGCCCTGCTCATATAGCAATATTGCTCCCATCCAGCGCTACATATATGCAATTGTAATGTAAATACTTGAGGATACAGTTCATTTTGTCTACCATAAAAGGGTTTTTTGCAGGAAATCGGCTGTTCTTTTGATCAACAGATATCCATTCAATAAACAGTTGAAAAGAGACAGTTAGATCATATTTGTGTAAGTATTGCAAAAGTGAGATAAAATTTAAGAAAGATATTACATCACGAAGGTTGTATAAATACCATTAGAATAACTAAAAAGCTGCTCCGGATGGCGTTTGTAAATAGCGAAAATAAGTTATATATAAATATATTATTTAAAATGTAAGGGCGGGACTGTGTTTGTTTGTCTATGTTTGCATACTCTCTATCGTAATTTCATCTACCTTCAAGTTTGGTGTAGTTTAGTTAAATGTATATATATATATGTATATATATATATATATATATATATATATATATAAGTTCAATTGATCGTATCAATTTTTTCCGCAATGCAAAACCAAATCACCCGTCTGAATTAGTTACAGCTGTAAATATCACAGACTATTCTTAGCAAATAGATGTATGTTAGCTAATGGCAAGTACGTAAATTACCATTTACAACACCTATTAACCCACATCAAATACTTTTATGAATCCCAATCATTTGCTACAATTTGTTACATAGAAGCTAACTCAATCGAAGAAGGTATGAAGGAATTGGATAAACTATCGCGGGTCCTTCAGGAGCCAATACTGGACGACACGAAGATCCGAGAGATGGTGCGTGTGGACAAGATTCCCATTGACGAAGCCCTCAAAGACCTTTTGGCTGTCATTAAGTTCATGACCGTTGAACACCAACTCACTTTGCAATCGCTGAGGATTGTTTCCGTCGCCCTTGAAAAGGTAGAAGTGGATATCATCTATTTAGCATTTATGTTGCAGACGTACACAATATATTTTATGGCTTATCTGTAGATATTGGTAGAAAACCTTATTGTGGGTATTTTTGTACACATTGTAAGTGTAACTCATAAAGTTTAAAACTCGTCGTAGTTTGCGACTTGAATATATCCGCCCATATTCTTTTATCGCATGCAGGACGTGTATCATTGTTTGTTTTCACTGTTCATGCACTGACAGCTCGCAAAGCGTATGCACTTCGCAGCTCACCCGGATGGAGCCCATACTTCGACAAAGGTCGAAGAAGAGGCAGATACTTCAGTGGAACATCACGAACTGATTCGCCGAGCCATTCTCAGACGGATTCGTAGAAATGCTGCCATTTTCGAAAAGTCGTCGCAAGGTATCCTCGACAAGCTTCGACGACACAGTTGAACCTGCTTAATGTGGCAATAATCCAAACCTACCCATCCATGTTTCTATAACGCAAGGCAAATTCACACCTCGGCTTTAATGTAACTTGAAATGGGTATCGATTTTTTCCTTGCGCTTATATTTTATCGTATTTAGTTGTCGATTGTATTCTCTCTTTTTTTTTTTTTTTTTTTTTCGAAAGCAGGACTGTGTTCTATTTATTTCTATAATAAACACGAGCACGGTATTCTGGCATCCACTGTGCATTTCTTAGATGCACAGCTGTAGCAGAAGCAAACCAAGTGCATGCTTTCGTGTAGCTTATAACTTCATTTTCTCGCAGCAGCTGACGATCCTCTAGTGGAAATGTCTTCTTCTGCTTCCAAAGAAGCTCCTAAAGCTTGGTCACATTCTTCTATTTCATCATCATCCTCCGCATCCTCATCATTCTCTTCTTCAGTTGACCAGGATACTTTACAATCGTCCGACACAGAGCCGTCAAACATTCTCGATGAAGGAATACCTGTTTACTTGACAGACAGTGACAAACCGCGGTCGCGCCGGAAGCGATTTTTCTTTGACTATAGAATGTACTTACCTTGGCTATGGGGCGCTTATTGGGCCGGATATGGATACGGTTATCTTTATCCGTATTACGGAAAAAATTATTACTACTACTACCCCTATTTCTACCACTACCCCTACAGTTATGGTTACTATCCTTATTATTATTATTATTATTATACGCCCGTGACACAGACGACAACAGCTCCCGCGGCGCTTCGTCGACCGCTAAAGAGGGGCAAAAAATAATTTTGCCGTTCTAATGGTTCTCATTTCGTAAAATTGCCGTAGTCATGCGTCTGCCTGTGATAACTTAACACCATGGATTTGCTTGCGAAGTAGGGATAAAACTAAGGGTTACCAACATTTTAACAACGACTATCTGGGAATAATGAAATGTGATTTACTACTATTATTATGTAACACGTTGGTGATAGAATTTGGTGTATTTTTTCTAAAATAAACGACGATTTAGACGTTGACGTTGAACGAAACAGTTTCTTCTCAACGATGAACCTACAAATGAGATAACAGTTAATTAAAACAACGTTAAGCTTTCCTTATTTAATGATGTGCACTATAGGTCGATAGAAGGGCTTGAACCAGAGTGCCCTAAGTTCCTCAGTTGAACTTAGCCGCTGTAGTAACAACTCTAACTATATGTGAATCTCACTTGTACAAGACTAAATGTTTTCCTTACATAAAAACATAAATGTCAGCTAGATAGAAATGTGTAATAAAACAAACAATTAGAACGAGTGCTGAAGATAAAAAATGTTTACAAGATTAGTCAAAAATAGCAAACAAATCAAATACGTATGATCGATTATATGATGACCAATCAGTACGATTAGGCTTTAAAATACACTTAAAACGTACTTAACTAGCATTTTCTTAAAGTTTTCATTTTCTTGAGCGTACGAGAAATAGGCTCAGTTCAGTGGACCGATGAGAACGGATTCTATTTCAAGTTGGTGCTCTAGTTTTTGTTGTGCTTATGCAGATACTCCTGTTTTCTTACTATCCAAGGAGGACAAGTAAAATAAGTCTGACGATCTGTACTTTTTTTTAATGTTATAGAACAAACATATGATTGTTTTTCATATTTACTTATACCATGAAGATTTGATTTCGACTAAAGTTAGCTTCACTTGATTATGCCATTCATAGAATTCGTGACATGCATCTCCTTATTATCCAACCGTTCGCCCATCCAATAACGTCTCTTTGAATCTAATACCCAAAAAGCCTTCCTATTCAGCTTAATCGTTTGTTCCGCGACTATCATCTTTGACACTTCATTAAAAAAATATTTCAAATATTCATTCATTTTTACAGTTTCCATCCAGGATTTATGACCTTTGAACAAATAGCGCAGATATCGAAATTGTAGATGCATTTAGGAGAAAATAATCGTAGTCCTTCTTCAGGGCATATACATGTGCGAACTAACATAAGGATGTAACAAACTTATAAAACAAATAACTTGATAGCAAAGCAAGGCTACTGCATAATACAGAAATGAATGTTTCAGCATTTTGATGTATATTTAACCAGCCAATGTAAGCGGCACTTATTTCTGATGCTGGGTAAGGTAAATGTTTCAAGCATGCCACCGGGAGCCGATCTTAGAGCAGTGTAACGCACAGAGGACACCTTGGCCAAAATGGCCCGTTTGAATAACGTATTGATTAAGATGATTTGATGGTTCCTGAGATGCTTGGTTAGGAAACGTCGCGATTTTCCCCCTCCAAGATTATTAGATTCTTTTTTACGTTAGCATCGCGTTTAAACGTTGACTATGGTCATTTGTGACCACTTGCGGCGTAATTCGCGAAAACCAAATGCAGACTGTTTGAAACAGACCCCTCGTTGTTAGTTTCTGCCTCACAGGGCGTACGCTACCCATAATCCGATACTTATTTCCCTTTATATGACACTAGCAGATCGTCGCGTTCGCGTTTCTTATCGACCAGCGTAACGCAGCGATTGAGTGTTACCCTTTCGCTGTAATGCAATACCAAGATCGTGATCTATGACTCATAGACTAATCTGAGGTGAATAACAGATACCGTCCCACTACATAATCTGCACCGCTATCATAACGCATAAGACAATAAAAGGCTAATCACATTGGCCGTATCGGCACCTATATTTGATATGTATCTGATCTAGCACCCTTCGCTGGCTTATCAAGCGTCATTCAATTGAGACAGCGACCCTTGTTTTACGGAACGCAACGTGTCGAAAATTCGTTAAGCGGTTTAGCTATGCGCGATCATCTTCCGCCCCCTGACGAAAGTAAGTACCAGCGATATCGCATTTTCGTTCGCTACTTCAGCCCTTAGTTATCAATTCAAAAGTACCACCTCTTCGAACTTTGTCAGATGCACATTTCGATATCGGGAAAACCATTCTGATATTGTAGATAATCATGTTGTCGAAGCTGTTTGACAAGAGACTACATTCGTTTTCGTTGCGTTTAATACACGTCGTGCATGATTTTATTTTGGACCGAGCAAATGAATACATTATTATCTTGCAAAGCGCACCTACACTCACTTTTGGCTTCAATCAACACTTGTTTTTGTTCCAGAAACTTCAACTTATGATTAGGTGAACTTTAACGTTTGCTCAGTGGGATAGTAGGTTTCCGATAATTAGTTCACCTGGCCTCGATTCGGATAGGAGATAGAGGATATCCATCGACTTATTATGTACTTTCTTCTTGATGAAAATCCATCGATCACTTGCTATTATTGTACCCGGTCCCATGAATATACTGAACAAACAATTCTCCATCCTGATATAATGGATGAGCATAGCCAAGGGAAATCAAGGAGTCTTTAAATGGCTGGTCGCTTTATGCCACTTGACGAACTGCACCCGTGGATCACTCTGGTACGCGCGCCAGTTTGTATATTCGTGGCTTTTTTTGACGAACTCCCGTACGGCTTTGTAGCGCGAATCTGCCCGCTGCTGATGCTTTTCTATTACTCCGATTTGAAATCGAAACAGGTCGTCAAGTACGCCAGCGTGCAACTTCTGTAGCTCCTCAAGATGTTCACCGCCGAAATGTTGAGGAGGTAATATTGCTGGGAACCACCAATCGGGAACTGTTGTCGACCTTGACGATGCCAAACTTGTCGATTTGGACTTCTTCAGAGTTCGGAGAAACGAGCCCTCTCCCGTTGCTGGTAATGTCCTCCCGTCACTGCAGGTTCGCTTGTGTTGACCCGTGTCTAGGCTTTTCGATCGAATATACTTCGAAGAGGTACTCTTCATTTTGGGAGTGGACTTTTCGAATGTATCGCTGTAATCTTCAGCAGCATTTTTCTCGTGCTTAACTGTTTTGGTCGATACAGTTTCCGTAGAAGTTTTCGTTGTGGTAGATGTTTTATTTGTACTATCACTAGCAAGCTTCGCTGTCGAGCATTTAGCTGACGTATCCTTCTCGCCAAGTCCTTCAATGTCAGGTTTGGATTCGTTTTTCGACGCTGAACTCTCTGTCACAGTAGACGAAGCATTTTTCGTGGAACCTGTTCGAAGCCTTGCCGATTTCACCCGCGGAGATGGGGTTCGCTGGGGTTCTGGAGACGATGACGGAAATGAATGTTGGCAGTTCTTGTGGTACGGGCTTGGCGAACGCCGGATTTGATGGCGTCCCACGTCGGGGCTTTTAGTTTGAGATGACCTGGATTTACTTTCAACACCGGTCTTTTGTCGAGGTGGACTGATGGAAATCGTAGCCGAATCATTTTGTCTTCTCACCAATTGTGGACTTCTAGGGATTTTGCTTGGTATTGTCTGTCGATCGCTAAACGATACCTCTTTTTTACTGTTACTTAATGTTGGTGAAGAAGTGGGACTGCCCGATTTGTTTTCCGCCTGCGATTGTCTTCGCTGTCTCTGACCAATTCCAAGGCCGGCGACCTTGTTCAATAGAGCAGCCGCACGTCCACTTCGTCCAGCAACTAGTACTGAAGAGTCCACTGCATTTGACGATATATTCCCATCTGCTGCCTTACTTTCGTAGATAAAACTATCGGCGCTTTGTGCAGGTTTAGGTATTCTAGATAGTGAGTTAGTACGTTTACGAAGCTCTGTGAGGTAGTTTCGAAGTTCGGATGAATCCGATGAACTTTCAGCCATTTTGACCTGTGCGCTTTTAAAACTAATTGAATAAAGGTTGAGCCTAGCACGCAACTGTACGAAACGAACGTACTCTCAAAAAGTCATATTTTCTCAACAAATATGACCTCATTAACATGTTTTACTCCAACAGGGCTATGGCTAACTATTGTATAGTAGCTCCCTATGCTATGATGTCGATGTGTGAGGACTTCGTAATAATCTATCTCACTCGAAAATGACCAGAAATGACAGACAGCAACTCTCCTGTTGATGGCCTTGTTGCCATGGGCACCCTCCGCTTGCTAGGGCCCATACAGGCCCGCCCCCGTTCTTTAAAAGTAATGGAGTTCTTCCTAGCACGATCTAATAGATACACTGGGTCAGGCATGGCACTCATGCCGCCTTGATGTTGTCAGATATATTGATTTCTATCAGCATTTTCAAGACATGTGCACTGTGTTTTGGTTGTGTGCAGATGCCTTTCATTGACTATTTTCCACTAATATGTGCACCGTTAGTCTTAAATAATGTGTCTTCATGTATATATATACGAATGATCTGATAGCTATGGTGCAAGATAAAATTTCTAAAACTCTTCCGTCTTCAGTACGTTTACTCAATTCTATTGAAACAGGCACAATTGTTTTTTTCTTTTGCGTAACTTTGGGACGAGGCGTTATCGGCGCTCACTTTGGTTTTCGGCGGCATTCATTTCAAACCAGATCAGCCATCCGGCGCGGGACCGTTGTGTCCCCCAAAATGTGCTGCTCCGTCGCCTCTTTCGCTCCGCTTCGCCTGCGTCAACAAACACAGCTGGCCGACGGAAAAAGTAACGGAAGTCGTCGGTAGCGACTGCAAAAGCCCAGACTCCGACAACAAACTCGACCGTGAGCGGGACTGTCGCTCCGACAAAGGAGCTAGCTAGCTAGCTAGCCATACCGTAGGGGAGCAACCATTCAAAAAAGAACAGACGGCATCTGGCAAAAGACACTTATCGCGTCGCTTAATTATTCGCCTCTGTCTTAGTGCGCGAAACAGCGGGGCCTCGCTCACCATGGTTATAAAACCACGGCGCCGTCGCGAACTCGGCATTGGATAAACGGTCGAATCGCCTGCGGTGATGCTTACGATGATGGGCAAGGAAAGTCTGCACAGGCCCGTTTGTACTCGACAGTTGTAAAAATAACAAAAACACAACTACAAGGGCAACGACAAATAGCCATTAAGAAAAAATAACTTTCAAAAGATTTTGGAATGAATTGGAAACAGCTATAGCATCAATCAGACAATAGATACGGATAATAATTTGTTCATGTGCAAAGAATAGATGTATATCAATGAAGATCAACGCATTGGTACTTCCGAAGATCGTCAGAGAAAAGGCCACATGAATTATACACACAGTAGGTGTAACGTCGAGGACAGATGAGAAATTTGCTAGAATCGTCGCAGTTGGCTGTCGCTTGTCAATCGCACACCATCAGTTGCAGAACTGATAGAGAGAGGAAAAATCCGAATCATGATGATGGAGCCCCGTGAGAGCGTCAGCTCGGCGCTTTCCGAGGAGTCGGATTTGGTCGTGGGTACTGGTGCACTCAGGTCTTCTGAGTCCGCTGAATCCGTTGCGAGCCGATTGCAAGCATCATGTAAGTACGCTAGCTGTGGTCGCCAAAGCTGTGAATAAAGATGAGTGCTCTAGAGAAAAGTACTATGTTATCTTATAGGGATAAACGAACTCAGATAATCTCAATAACTAATCTTAAACCGAGCTGTATGTACAGGTTTCGGCACAAACTATGATAGATAGGCGAATGTGTACTGGTATAATTTTTCATTTTAATGAAACTTGCCATGCGTTGGTATACAACCAACGTTTTAAAACAAAATGATATCAATTGTTGATCGACTAACTGTCAATCTATTGAGAAATTGAGTGCATTTGAGTGCACCTAAACGCTTAACGACGACGACTACTTTACACTGACTTAAAAGCCTCTTACGATGACGAAAATTTTGCCAACCAAAAGTCCCTAACCTATTGAGGCGACGCTCTAACTGATGTAACCCCACTTTACAATCCTATAAGTAGGTCTTATTCTATTCATAATACGTTTAAGTCAGTGCTAAGAAAATCAAATAGAGGTGTGATATCTGAAAATTCAGAGATTCGATCTTCTGTGCATCCTGGCAGGGTGCCAGTCTATCAATCTAGAAACGATGGTACATGCACGTTTAGGTTTTTCTATAGCTTGATACAAGTTAATTTAAGTTTTTTGGTCATACAACGAAGCACTTACGCTTGTGTACGTTATGCCGCAACAAAATTCAGACGAACGCGTCCATGTTGTTACTGCCTGTAGGGATTCCCGAAATTTTAGAGAAGAGAAACATGTTGATGCTACCCTCAAACAGTCGTCAGCAAGCAAGGTTAAGCGTAACGCGTCACTTAGTTGGAACCACTATTACGTAAGCGTAATTTAGCGAAAGCTAGCTTTGATTATGAAAAGAACTATATTACAGTACGTGATGACACTCATTTTCGTTTTTAGCTTAACTCATACGACGCTCGTCGTATAGCGGGCAAATTTAGCGGGAAACGTCAAGCATAAAAGAGGTTAGTAGATGTTGGCGCATTATAGTGTGCTAAAATGCGAAGTTGTTACTGGACGCGCCGAACGAGCTATATTATATGATGCGGGAAATTGTCTGTGCCGTTTGGCCCACGTGTGCCAGGGTCACGATGGGAAATAGTCAAATATTTACTGTTAACATTGCCATGCCCAATGCGCGTAGTGCTTCGCGTACGCACAAGCCGGCATATGTTAACTCGTGCATATTTCGTGCCAATTTTGCGGTTAACCGTTATCCAATTCCAAGTCCTTTGCTCGACTTGTCCCGCTCTTGGGCAAAGTCGTACACGAGCAAATGTCCCAAAGCGTCGCCGTTCGTACCACGGGACAGTTGACAGCAGTCAGCTGTGCTGTGAAATTTATTTTAAATCCTATTGTCGTTTATAATAATAGTTGCATTAAAAATGGTGATCAAACAGGCTCATCAATCGTCTTCAAGCATTTACGACGATCCTTTTGAAGTCGAATGTGAGGTTATTTCTAGCTCAGCGTGTTTATCGACTGTTCACCAGAGTCAAGAAGTAGCTGTTTCTACTAACAGAACTCTGTATACCCGTATCGTGAACTTTGTACGAGAGAAAATCGTGACCCGTGAATAAATACAAGAGTATTCATTCACAGAAACACAAGGTCAAAACAAGCTCTTGTACAAGCAATGGTGCCTATTACACAAGCGGAGTTATTTATGATTGAAACGACTTAGACGCCCTGTTATGTTATAGTAGGCCTTTTACACAGTACAAGATTAGTGACCGCCCGTTAGAAGCAATCCAAAACCGATATGATATTTTTGTTATGCGCCAACACAGGCCGAACGCTTCATCTACACAGCAAGCTCTCTAAACTCCGTTTGCCAATGCCCAACCTTGGTAGGGTTTAAGTGTGGACGTTTTTTGTGTATCGTCTTGGGCAGGTATATGGTCAACAAAGACTCGACTATCGACATCCGATTCGACGGAGCGAGGTGCTGGCGCAGACTACGAAAGTCTGGAAGAATATATTCAACTTCGGCGGTGCCAAGAAAAGCAGGACGTTTCGTTTGAGGTGGTCGAGGCAAAAATTGTCTGCGATGAAAAGACAAAGAAATTTGTCATGTACACTCTAGCAATTAAAAGGTTGGTAGACCAGGCTGCTGCAGGTTACGCTTTGTTCTGTGTTAAGTGCTGAGCAAAATTGCCTAGACAACCCAGGTGATATTGGACTTTTCAGTATACACAGACACACACACAGAGACACATATACATATGCTGAAAAATGTAGTTTCGGTTAACTCGAATAAATTTTTTTTGCTTTGAAGAGTAATAATACGTTTCTTGTCATAATTGTATCTTATAATTTTTATTAAGTAGTATTTTCCAATGACGTTGGAATATAGATTAAACTCATTACATTAAATATCGAATATATCGACTGTTCCTTCAGACCAGACAGCGTTGGAAGAGGGGTGGAAACCGACGCGGGTGAGGTAGAAAGAAGGTATTCGGATTTTTTGGCACTTCAGGAAGCGTTGAGAAGGGAACAACCTGAACTTATTGCTAGTATAGCTTTCCCTCGAAAAGCTCTGATGGGTAATTTTACTTCGGAGGTGATCGAAGCGCGCTGCCACGGCTTTGAGTAAGTAAACGAATGCATATTTAATATAAATCCAGTCCATTTCTTTTGTGGTTAGGATTGCTTAGTACGCATCATACACCATTCCTAAAAAAAAAAAAAAAAAAAAAACTAGTTTTAATAACTAAAGTAAGGTATAAGAAAGAAACAGTTTTCTTCAATAATTACAAATCATAATGATGAAGCTATTGTATCCTTTGAAACTGACAGTTTGTTAAGTTTAATGTGATAGTTAATAACGTTTATTTTGATGACGTTCAAATAACAGGGACTTTGTTACCGAAATCTATTTGCACAAGCAACTGCGGCTATCGCCGGTATTTGCCGAGTTCCTGTTTTCGCGAGACGGTCGCCACGGCCACCAACTGATGACGCAAGGTGCTTTCCGAGAAGCGTCTCCAGTACTGCTCAACTGTCACCGTGTCACAGAAAAGCTGTATGGATTGAAGGACCCCGTAGCCTTCATAGTCCTCTGCCTCGTGGTCGCTTGTTTGAACGCATGCGATGATGTCGCACATGCACTCAAGTACGCCGAACTGGCTGTGTCTGCGGTACGAAAGTTTCTCGCTTATGATTACTATTTCTTTTCTATTATCTAGGCACGCTGAACATAAGCCATTAAATATCTAAATTATGCAAATACAATGAATCACTGTTGTACTGGTCTATTCTCGATTTGAGAAGAAAAACAAACTGAAGAAGTCTAGAAAACTCTAGGTGGTTGAAGAAATTAGGCAAACAAAAAATCCGTATGCACATAGTTGCGCTATAAGTACTTGGTTTAAGTGACACTAATACTTTGAAAACCTTTATGTGTGGTGTCAATATTATTATTTTACCGTTAGTAACTGTCATAATTGCCCTTTGTTTTTTTTCAAATAGTGCCCTAACCGTGTCGCATATAAAACTAACGACTATCTGTTTTTTTACCTGTGCTATTATTGTTGATATGATCTTATTACATCTTCGTATCATCTTCTATTCTGTCAGGTGTCTAACCACGAGCACCGCAGCGATATTGCCATTCCACTGTTGATTCTCTCGTTACGACTGTTTTCTACCGCTGGCCGGAGTCGTACACCGGTTGAGAAGGCGCTCCGCCGTTTTGAAGAGCTAGGACAGCCAACAGTGAATTTACCCACGTTACTGGCAGTTGTTCTACGAATCGACATCTCTACTGTGTTTCCTTCACCCCCGAACGGCGGACTTAACCATACACCGTAGCACCGGGCCAGCTACTGGTGCCTGTGGCCGCCAGCTTTGGCCTGATCAGGTCAAAGATGTATGTGGCGATGATAGTGCCGACGATTTTGTTAATGGTGATAAGGGCAAGTCGCTCTTGCCACGCGCCTCCAATAATACTGGCCACCTACCGCATAACAGATTTAGGACACCGCGACGTTGTCGACGTGACTGCTAACGCATACGATTCCTTCATTGTCGTGACCAGCAACGACATACCATCAACAAGGTCACCCGTAACTCTAGCCAGGTATCTGGAAGCAGGCAACGAGATATAATAAAAAGAGCGACGTTGACTTAACCCGATTATCGGGATTTCTAGTCACTAGTTATACTTCTAGTTATACTTGACACATGTAAGTGGTACACACCGAAATAAATTGATCAGGACGTGTACATTAGTTGAAGAGGAAGCCGGCTGAAGGGATCTTGATTCATTGTGAATCCGTACACAGTAGGGTAGCTACTCTACAGGTATCCATAATGAACAGACAGAAATGCAGTAGCTAACCATGAACTTAGGATCGAGGTGGATAGCAAGTCCACGGCTGAGTGAAGGAATATGATAAACACTACTTTTACTAGTAATTAAGCATACAAGACGAAGATAACGGTCATATTGGAAGGTGTGAAAGGCGAACATGCAACGGTGAGCGGATAAGCTTTCCTCAGCACCCCTATATGCGTGTACAATATTTGACCAATCTGCAAGATACGCCGGGTAGCAAACATAATGCTGAAACCATTGCATATTGCATACTGCTGATTTAGCACCAAAAGTAGTAGGGGGTACAGAATAGAACTGAAGGACCCGCAATTTCAGCACTCTGTAGAAAACAACAGCAAAGGTATTCGCTGGCGGCGTAATGTTATGTTGAACACGTTTATGTATCTGTCCAGTACAGCGCTGTGAGGTTTGACGATGTCGCTTTCTGCGGCTCAAATCAATAGCCTCCTTTATTCTGGCTATGATTTAACACACTAAGTAGTTCGTAAAAACGTTTTCGTTGAAAGCGTAATACACCAACTCACCAAATCAAACATGACAAACAAATAAACCAAACTATTAATAACACTGCTACCACTGATACAAACTCAGACTTTTCTGACTATACACATATATACCTGTAGTGGTAGGGGTGTTCCTATAATGAACACTGTCGAGATTTCTGGCTGTATCGAAGATATGTTTTACACAATCATTGAGTGCTGGTACATGCACGACTTATAAACGAGGTTCCAAAACCTCGATTTACCTCGTAGATATACAAACCCACATCCACGTGTGAGACCGTTGACTTCAATAATATGCCCTTTTTCTGTCCAAAAACGTTGACATCGATTGGTTTTCTGAGGATTGTAACGATTAACGACTGACAGCCATGGAGTATATCTATAAAAATACTGCACAGTCACTGAGACGAATATTTTATTGTTTGAGCACGAAATACGGCTATACGAACACAAGGAAAAAGGGCAATTCACCAGGGAGATTCGTAGAAACTAAACCCTCCTGCCACATCCAACAGCATATTATTACGTAATGTTCCAATGAAAGAAGTCACCCCAGGAGTCACTTGCGAAGGATAGTCGCTTTTAGGAGTCTTTCAGGAGCTTACAATCATTAGTCGGACGAAACCCGGAGAGAGGTACACATAGAAAAGATAAAGGCGGTATCAGCCTTTGAGAATGTCCATCTTCGGCATGATAGAAAGGAAACCGTGGAAAATTAAGTTACGTTTGCTGAAGTTTACTTGTCTAAGGCGGCACCGTTTCCCAGACATTCGAGACAATGATTTTAAAACCGTTATGAAGAAACAGCTACAGGTGTATCACGCAAATGTTTCTAATAACAGAGTGGAAAGGACCGAAATAGGTTGAGAGTAGGCAAAATGCTTAAGCAACAATCTCAACTACTATACATATATATATATATATATATATATATATATATATATATATATAACGACAACGAGTTCAAAGGGAGTTGGGTTTACAAGCATTTGAAAAGTTTTTTTTTGGGTACGAAAGGCATTAGGCCAACGTACATGTACGAAGCAATTTTAGAAAGTAAACAAAAACGGCTATTTCGGCTTTGGTTTTTCAAAATCTCTAGTTATAACTGGCTCAACTGTGAAGAAATATAGAAGACGGTTGTTTCGTAGAGTTATCTGGAGCCCTCAACATCTCACCGAACAGTAATAATAGTCCTCTAGTTCGCGCAGATACCTATTTGCGAGAATTTCGTTGTATTCGATATTAACGTTGGTCAATCGTTTTTATTATTGTTTTACTAGGTACTGGACTTAGCTTCGCACTCGGCCATTGAGTCGTAAAGTCATGACTGCAGGTGGCATTGTTTGTCGTTGCCAAATCCTTGTAGGAATCGTGCAGTTTTATGTTAACATATTATATATATATATATATATACACACACGCATTTGAGGCGTACATGGATCTTAGTCGAAAGACGCTGAGATGAGAGAATTACTCAACCGTAACAGTTTTGTGATTGCAATCGTTTTGAGTGATGCATAATGATAGCGGTGATAACAGTGCTGAAGTATGTGCTTATAGCACCCGTGTAGAACCTTATCCAGAGCGTCGACTTGAATTCAGCGAATGAATAGTTGACGCGTTTATGTAGGCCAATTGCATGGATCTGCTAAGAGGTTTTGAAGGATCGAAAAAAGGTGACCGTTAGGGATACAAATATATATATATAAGGGCCACGTTAATCGGCAATTAAGTAGAGAGCGTCAACTAGCGACATCTCGTAAAACACGTTTTTCGAGGACGAAGCTAACAAACGTGCAGGCCCGAGGTCTTTTTGGCCCAAAAACCTCAACTGGATTAAAAATGAGGGCTATGACGAAGGCAGGAGCTTGAAACAGTGAGTTTCATGTTGATCTAAATGTGGTCATGCAGACAGGAGCCTCATTTAACGATAAAGTCAACCTGTTAGAGAAAGGGGAGCACATAGCTCACTATTAGGCACACGAATGCTTTCGACCATAACGCGGATTTGTTATCTAATGTACTTCAGGCAAGCATAATGACAACGCCAGGCCTCCCTAGGCAAAGCTAGAATTATCCAGCTCTAAGGATAATCCTACGAGAATATTTGGACAAATAGTTCGCCGCCTTAGATGGTCACATTACAAATACTACCGAGTTCTTGTGATGCCTCGCAGATACCTAATCTGCATCAGTGAGCCGTAGTCGTTGATTTACACTTGATCCGATCCCACCTGCGGGGGGGGGGGAAGCGGACCAAAAACGAAGTTAATATAAACTACTAATAAAATATCACTGACACGCTTACGATGTCTATCCGAGACAATTTTCAGTACAACGATAATCGGAGATGGAAAAATCAGAGAGATAAACGGGAAAGCAAAAGAGCAAAAAGGGGCTCTTGCACACTGTCTTACTGAGTAGCAATGACAAGTTCGATGATGATATTGGTTTTGATGACGATGGTAAATACATGAAGACGCTAAAAAAGAACGATGTTCATGTACAGAGGCGTATGCTTCAGCGTATTACATATTGTTGCAATATTGATTACCGAAAAAGACAGCGGGATCGACGAAAGAGGTGGCAGCACGGCGAGTAAGCAGACAGTCCAGTGAGCTTGTAATCATCAAAATGTTCCTATTCTATATTAAAGATCGAAAAATAATAAAGGCATATTTTGCTTACTGTTGACTGGCGTTTTGAGTTGACGTATAGATAAGAAATGTACACTGTGTGGCCTCGTACTACGTGAAAGTTATGGCGCAAGCTCTTCTCTCTGTTTACCTATCACTGCAATACGAATCCGCGTTAGGCAGAGTTCATTTTGAAAAGATTTATCTTAATTGGCGAACCCCGCAAGTCAAATACCGATATATTCAGAGACGCTGTTTACCTTTTTTCGAGGTCGCACGATATAATACGGTATCCACTCATTACGGAATTGAGTCAGTAGATCGTCTAGTTGTTTGGATGTGTTATTTAATAATTAGATGATTTTGATTAACAAAACAGGACTGCCAATGAACACGCACCTACCGAGAAGCACAGCGTACTGGAAGCTTACACGCCCCCGATTAGCGTGTCTTTTTCTAACGGAGTTCTCAGATATACAGCAGAAAAGTCTGATTTTGAAGTCACAGGGGTGCCCCAAAAGCTATTTGGTTTTCGTCCAACCATATTTTAGATCTTCATTGTTCATTCTCTAAGCAAAAAGTTTTGATTTAATTTACCTACAGCTGCGCTTGTCGTTAATACCTAATAGCATCCTTCTTCATTGTAGACGCCGCTAGTTCTCATCGTCTAAACAATGTTTCACACAATTAGGGACTTTTTCTGAGACTTCGTTCAGTGCAGATTGATTCAAGGCGTAAAAATATATAGGAAAGCGTCCCAACAAACGCACTGACGAAGCAAGACAGAATGTATAGTTTAAAACGAAAAAAAAAAAACGGCAGCAAAATATTTTTTTAAATTCTAATTAAATTTTATTTATTTAATTTTTTGTAACTACTGCAGCCGAGACACAACACCGAGATCAAACAGAGAGCAGGACATCAGGCCAAACAATAGTAACAGAAAAAGTTCCCACCGAAATCTAATTTCGAAGCGTGAAACGTCTCTTTAGACTTGTGTCTGCCTTCGGCCATAGTGTACATGCACGTGGACAAAGATAAATCCGTTACATGGAAGGTCGTTTGTCTAGAATCATTCCCTTTTTTTTGCTTAGCCAACACATGCCCACTTTATCACCAGTGAACAATACAGCAAATTTAAATAAAATTGATTTGTCTTTCGTCAATGTCGTCTATTCACGCCCGATGAACAATGCAAGGAGAAGTTGTGCCGTGTCGGGGACGGCAGTGCAAAGCGTATCGACAGGAAATCCTCTTTTTAGCGCTACCATTGGCCGACCATCATCGGCTAGTCCACAAGTGTCCTGTGCGATTCAAGGTTATGGTGCGATCGTCTCTGTCCGTAAAGCCGTGTTCGCAGTCTCAATCTGCCCTCTACCGGAGTTCCCCGGCTGCTGTGCTTATGCCTGCCGTTAGCATCGCCATCACCGCGCCACGGCGGACGTTCCTCTTGGTCCCAATTGTCATCGTCGGGTTAATGCTGTCTTATCTTGCCCCCTTCGAGTCCCGCTTCACAACCAGCCCGCTTTTCCATCCAATGCGGCTTGCCCGCCGCTGCTGTCTTGATTCGCTCCGCTTGTAGCGCTGCGCCATCAGTGGCGCAGAGAGAGGGAAGATCTGCCTTTGTGGTGTGCCTACTGCTACAAGAAACAGTGACCGATGGTGGGGACTGTTCCGCGCACTGCTGCGTACCCTCTTCGTTTTCTCGCTTAGCCTTAGACGCAACTATGGGCGCTGGCGTTAAGCGTAGCGTCGTGTTAAGCGCTCAGTTGCGGCCACCACCTCGACTGCTAGCTACTGCTGTTATTGGCGCCGCTGCTGCTGTTGCCGCTTCCTTCCCGCCTCTGCCGCGGCTCCGTCGGCGAGTGATGCTAAGTGGTAAGCGGTAAACAGCAGTGTTCGTTCGCGGTAGCAGCCACATAGGGCAAATACAATAACGAGTGTTAGCAGTCGCTAACGTAGAGTGCAACGTGCAAAGCTAGCGCCGTCATCGTCGCTGCGGTGCGCTGTCCGTCTGCCGTCGGTGGCCGATCGACCGTTGGTGGAGTTGATCGGTGCTGGCTTGCGCACGCTGGGAAGCTCTATTAAGAGGGGACTCGCGACCGTGATTGCGATTAAAACGTGAACAACGGCGATCGAGGAACAGTCGCGTCGTGCCAGCCGCCCCCGTCGCCGTCGACAGCCGTAGCAGATAGACAGAGACAGGCGTCAACAAATTGTTCTGTGCAGTACAGTGATCAGACCCGACACGCATGGGTAGAGCGACAGACAGATAGACCCAGAAAGTGAATTCTACTGGAAAAGAGACGAAAGGCTAACGCAAATGTTTTCGTCCTTTTTTCGGCTGTTCCGTTTTGTGTCGTTGACTCGTCATCATCAGTGTGCCGTTGTCCTGCGGCTTCGCTTGAATGCTAATACTCCGTCAAATGACGAATCTATACCATTGGCGCTGACTGCCAAAAAGGCGAAGAAAATGAAGATAACGCAAGACGATTATGAAGGAAAGCATTGTTTGTTGATCAGTAACTAGCGATCGAGCGAATCTAGGCTAATACAGCGGTCAGCCACAGCTCAGTAGACGGTACTGCTGTTTTGATTGAGTGCTCCCGTGAGTTTATCGGCGAAAAACGCATCAGCATCGTTGATTACTGGTTGGTAAGTGACAGTGTCGTGTGAGCGCCGAGTGGCTACGTGCTGGTCTACGACTGAGTTCATTAGCTCATCCTCCGAGCCTGTCAGGTTTCGCAGTTGCCTAGTTCCGCAGATCCGTCGATCGCGCTGTGGAGTCCGGTACTATCGGTACTGTCCAGCTGGAAGAGGCCAGAAAGAAACAAGAAAGGCAAAAGCCTCACTGGCTATGAAGATAGAATGCCACGATCGTGTCGTATGATCTGTAGAAACACCGAGGGACGGAAATAATGCAAACTTAACAAAATTCGACGCACAACGAACGGCAGGCGACGCCATTCGCTAGTCATAATCGTACAGTCGCTATTCTCGCTCATAGGTCTACCACATACGCACAAAGGCTCCATAATAGTAACGCTGTTTGATAAGTGGGCAACGATGGAGAGATCCCGGTAGCTATTTGATGGCAAAAGGAGCAGCTCAGACGACGAATCAAGAACAACACCGCAAAAATAGAATGCGCCATAACTGTCGGCGTAAAGGGTATGCCACCGTCACTTTTCTCGCTGACTTCGTCGACGATTAGCTCCTCCGTTCGTGAATAGGATAAACAGAGTCTCTAACAAAGTCCAGTGAATTCTTAGCCATCAGCAACAATTAGCCCCTCCGAAATACATGAGCTTGCAATTTCGAGAAGATCATACGAATTGGTTGGTGCTGTGATCGTGATGAGTTTTAACAGAAACTTACTGGTACAACTAGATAATAGTATTCTAATGCTAGCACTAGCTTCGCTGATGCGATGCATAAAGCCTTGACGTATATAGAAGTTGGTAATTGTGGTACAAAGTAACAAATAAGAAATTTGTTGACTTTCGTAGTAACAGACAGCCAATTTCTGTTTGCTGATCGAGCTAAGGCGTTCTCGGAAAGAACAGAGATTTATTTATGTTTACCTTCGCCACATTTGTACGGCACATACGTATGTGTTCGTAATAATTATTACGCTAATTGTTCCTATCGTCCGATCTGCATTTAACATCTAAACATAAAATTTCAACAGCGGCTCAGTCGTCGTATGGCGTTGTGCGCGTCGTCCAGTCAGTGCGGGACAGGCCTGCGTTCTGTTGTCGTACTCAATGTGATTCTCACTAAGAACGACGGTGCTCCACATCGGGGGGTCTAAGCTCACTACAGAGAGCAGTGCTTAACGGTGATAAACTAGTCTGTTGCTCGTTAACTCAACGTTGCGACATTCGCGGATCTGCCGTCAATATTTGCCGTCTTTATCGTGTGTCCTTCCTTTGCCACATATGAAATCTCTGAACAAAAGCAAATCTGCTATTAAACTCTACGCGCCCTTCTCAACTGTGTCATCGTCAGCTCGACTCCGAAAACGCATTGCCAAAAAAAATGGGTTCGCATGCTGCCAGCACATCTACGACCAGCCTCTCTATTTATTTACCTTACTATAGAATAGTTTTCACTGGTGAGGTGTAGCGGCGTTCATTAAGTAATGATAAAAGTTGTTATCCGTTTTGCGGTATTAGGTGAAGTGGTCTGACTGGACAACCGATCGGATTGGGCTGTTTGTTCGAAGGTAGGCTTTCGTGGTCATAGCAAGCAGGGTAACGGATACTACCGGAAGATTACCGCGAAAACTCCATAGATTGGTTCGTTCGTTAACCTAACCGCTGGCCGCTGCGTTCCCCGACATTAACACTAGCTAGCGCCATACGAACGGAGGCATAAGCATGTTGCCATCGCACCACTGCGGTACGAACAGCGTCATTATAAGCACTGCTGTGGTAAGGCGCCGCAGCAGCGTCGAACACCGCGATCAAACTATCGGCAGCAGCAGCCGCCGCCGCCGCCGGTAAAAGACAGTAAACAGCTGCAATCGAATTTAGCTCTAAGAAAACGTTGACAGCGACGGTAACAACAACGTAAGGGGACGACTAGCAAAGCCGTTCGAAAAGAAATGTATACCACAGAAAGGGTCAAGCGAGCGAGACAGTTTAATAAGCTGTCCCCTTCTTCGCTTATAATCTAGCCAACTAGCAAGACCCGTTCCGCTATCGGCGAACCGGATGCACTAACGTAGGATTTGTACGCTAATAAAGAATCACACGAAGTTACGTGGACGTGAAGTTCATTGAAGTGAAACAGGCCATCGTTCAGGAAAAACAGACAAACATAGAGACGGCAACCATGGAACTAAGAAGAGCATAATTGAAGAAACAATCGCGGGTAAAGGTACTCTCCATGGTATATATGGGCCATTCGACAGAAGAGCAGTGTCTGAACAGCACAAATTCAAATCGAACTGCGAGCGGCTTTCTAGCAAGTCTATCCGAAAGCACGTTGTGGGCGATTTTCGACAAAATAGAAAGAGATACAATTTGTTCCCAGTGTGAAACGCATGCTGACTAAGGAGGCCATGTTATTCCACGACATTCGCCTCATAACGGAATCGATCGCTGGTGAGGTGTTGCGATTATTGCAACAGCCTTGTTATCAGAATCGTCATCAGACATCGGGGAATTTTCTCTGCAGCGAGCGGAGCTGATACTCAATAGCAGTAGTAGACGGCTTCTCGGTGCTGTTGAAAATCCCTTATCTGGATAAGTGGCTATATAAAAGTGCAGAGGGTAATCGCGGTTGAGGCAACTCGGAAACAACTGCTACAGTAACAGCTTCAGCTAACCAAGATCATCAGCGACCTTGCCCTCAAATGATGGCGTGCTCGCTCGTCGTTATTGACCCTCATAGCAGTGAGTAATCTGCATGACGACAGCAACAGCAACAGTAACAGAGATTTTGTCTTACAGAAACAAAATCGTAACCGCTATCGGTGGCATCAATGCGCTTGCTATAGCTGAACGTGATTGCAATATTTTTGGTAAACAGCAGCGTCCTCCGTACAACGAGGCAACTAGAACAATGTCGGTGACAAACTGACACAAAGGGATCAAAAAGCAAAAAATGAAACGCAAGCCACAGTGTTGGCATCGTTAGGTTGTTAATAATTGTTGCCATTGTTGTCGGTGGCCTGGCCGTCAGCTCCGGCAGATGTCGGCGGGAGGTTTCCTATCGTCATCGGGACGCGTAAATATCCACCTCGTCGTCTGCAAATACATGTGTTTTTCACGAACCCGCGATGCGCTCTGATCTCACAAATAGTCCTATGTGAATCCCATCCTTCCTAAATCTCTTTTACCCTTTATGTTCAAAGCTGCTACAGCAACTGCCGCAGGTGCGATCCGCGCAGAAGGAATTTGTTCCGGTGTGGAATAAGAAGATCAGCAGCGGCTCACTATCATCTAATCAACTTCTGGAACGAAATTCGGCTTGGGGATCGTGGAACTTCCACGACGGTACGACGAAAACAGGAGAATAGACAGAGTCGTCAGTAGCCACCGTTATTGGCGGTGTGTTTTGTGTTATGTTGATGTTGTCCTAGGCGAAATTACGAGGTTACGGCACATCGTGAATACTCTCGACAGTCTAATATTCTCGTCAAGGTCGTTGTGATCGTGTAGTTAAGATATTATTGAGTTGTAATGGAGGCCGAATTGAGCGTCTGCAATGTCGACGTGCCTCTACTGAAGCGCTGTCTTCAGAGGTTGCTCGTTCTGTTCGATTGTCTCTCACAGATCGAGGATGAGCACGATGGCACACTTCGGCTACGTTTATGGACCCACCATAAGAAGCAGGATTCGCTGAAAAACGCGCAGGTAAGAATTTTTTTTTTTGAAGGATTTCCATATTCGTTTGCAAATTTGAGTATATTTAGTATGTATAGAAAGGACTAATGTCAATGGGATGTATTGTTACAGCTATTTCTACCGAAGCCAGGAACCTTTGATATCCATAGGAAATATAGCCAGTCACCAACTAGTTGTTTATTCAGTAAGTAATTGCTTACCAATGGTCAGCTACAAATGAAATAAATACAAGTAAAAGGTCTTGATACAAACTGACGTCAAGAACATGCTGAATAATGGCAACATTCGTACGCGCCTATTCCGCTTACAAAGTGGAGAGCTTGCTTCCATCAGCAGTAAGTAATGAAATCAGCTCAAAAGAAGAGAAATCGATGAGGTATGGGTACCCCTATTTCCTCAATTTGCTGCCCTTTGAAAAGACAATGAGAATTCGGTGTAGCGTTCAAGTTTAGGTTTGTTTTCGGGTTCGTGCTGTATAAGTACACCTAATAAATGTGGTTGCCATTATTATTAATTAATGATAATTAATTAGTTCGTTAAATATTCTATTAGTGCCGCGCAAAACTATGTTTGATAAGTTGGCAAAAATTAGACGTGCCGTAATGCGCCATACTCGGGTACAGTGATCTGGTATATAGGTCTGGGCGTCAGCAGATTGGCGTAGAGGCTTCACTACCTCCTTCTTTCGTTATACGTCATTACTATTTCGTGCTATACTGGATTCTTTATACCGTTCTGTTTATCCGTCAAATGCGCTTTATGAAGAATTAGCTCTAGGCATGTATTGCTCATGTCACTACCATTTACGTGGAAGTTAGCGACTTCTTCTAATATAGATGAATACATATGTTCTATTACACAATTGTAGGAATCGTTGTTAGTTGCTAGCGTTCTTATTAGTCATAGTGGATGAGTTGAGTTTTCATTTTTGCTAAAATTGTATGTAATTTTTCATTTTTCATTGTCGAGTGCATGAAAAGCAGCGTATCTCTAATATTTTCATTAGAAAATAATCAGTATCATGCTCTCGAATTTACCTGAATAGCATGATGGCCTAATACAGAAGGCAAACGATATATGCAACGTTTACTTCGTTGCTGAAGGCTTTCTGTACTTCACAAGAAACTGTGCCCGTCCAAAATTAGCTGAAGTGCGCTGTTACTGTTACAGCTAATCAACTTCTATTTCTTACGACTGCCGTAGTGTTTTGTCGTCCGAGCGCACGCGTCTATAGATGCACTGGCTGACAGAACGTTCCCAACGGTACAGTCATAGGTTTGTCCGAATGAATGTGATGACCGATCCGGAGGACAGCTAGCGATCTGCAACAACGGCTATCCTTTTTCAGTTGACCTTTTTCTCGTAGCGGACTCAACGGGAAACGTGCGCAAAATTCTATATATATATATATATATATATATATATATATATATATATATAAAGATTACACAAATACACGGTAACAATCTATCATAACAGGAATAATGCTTATCTGTGTATGGGTTAAGGGGTTTCTATCTAGCCAACAGGGAGCGTTCCAGAAATATCGAAGCATCAGAAACGCTGATCTATGTTGACGTTCTATTTGATTTTATTAGCAGTGAATAAATGTGTTCGCTAAATAAATTAATCTCAAAAAGAAATATTAATGGAGTAGAGAACTATTTTACAACGCTTTATGACGATGAGCTGGCGTGAAACCAGTGCCCGCATTCAGTGGCGAACGCGAACAATTTATGCACGAATCAGGCACGAACCCGTTGGTTGTATTTCAGTGCACGGGAGTTTTCTCAGGCTGATATTAGATCGCTAGTTAACGAGCTTTTCATGTATATCTATAAATTGCATGGGTCCCATTAAAAAGTCCTCTCATCACACAGTGTACATACGTAGACACGTGTGGCGTGAGCAGTTAGCACCACCACCATAACAGTCACGTCGATCCTGTTCTTGCACAGACCACAGTATCTATCTAAAAATTAACCCTTTTAAATTGAACCCGTTATGGACCCTTATGGAAATTGCAAATGTTTTCAGCTAATCTGCGTGCTTTATTTTCTTTCGCCTTTGTCCCGTATTGCAGAAGGTACAATTCCAAGCTAACTTCTGTCTGCTTGATTGCTAATTAATTCTTCCAGTTGTATCTCTCCGAGGACTTAATAAGACGAAAGCGCGCGTTAAGCTATTTCACTATGGGGAAGAGTTAGTTTCAGCTCTGGGGAAGAAATTCTGTAGTGCTATATAATACGTAAGCCACGATAGATCAATGTCCTTATTCTAAACACCGGTTTCCTGCCTTTGCTAAAGAAGTAATGAAATAACAGAGGAACAACAATTATTAATACGCCAGAGAGAAAAAGGCTTGTGCTTCTGAAACTTGCCTGCAAAACTCAATAAAATTTGTGCCTTTATCATTTCCAATAGAAAAGTTCAGGCGGCGTGTTCAACCTGTTGTTTTTTTGTGAGAGAACGAACGTTTTTAGTCGCAGGTTGTCAAGGATATTATTCATTGAATTATCGGCACTCTACATTAGTCGCAAAAAAAATATTGAACATTGCAGTCTAGATGCTGTTTTTATTGCTTAACTTACCCAGATGGAACAAGTGGCACTGGGTAAGAATAGCTAGGACATTGATAAGTTAGTGCCTCTTTGGTTTGCTTCAACAGGCGGACTTCTTAGTCGCGTGAAGACTTCTCATGGAATAGTGCTATTACCTCGATGACTTTTTCATTATTGATCCCTATTCCGTGAATTAGTTACCATATTGAAATTGCGCAGAAAAAGACACTAGATATGTAGGTGTCAGAAAGGCAGTAATAGGTCGGTACATTGCAATAGTTCGGAGCATAAATCCAAGTAAAAAAAAATACTCCGCTGCGTTAACTATTAGAACTGCAACATTTTTTAGGGTAGAAGTTGTAATAACAGTTGTAACATAATACGGATCGTTTGGCTGACTTGTATGCGACGGCTAAATATTTTGATTATAGCGTTTGTAACTGCCGTTTGACATCGCTTCTAATGGCTAGAACAAAAGACAAATGCTGTGTCTCCACCCTCCATTTTGAACCTAGATCTACCCACGTGTGATTTAATTAAGTGAATACAACTGTTCTCAGCAAGCTATTACGAGCGCCCTACGAATGCTCCAAAAACAAATACCCTTAGCACGCATAAGATGAGTCTTTAAATATTACATCGAATATCCATATGTACTGTGTATTTAGTCTCGAGACTAAATGACGCTAGCTACCGGTGAAAAAGCGCGCCTAAATTTAATAATTTTCACTGGAGACACGTAACATGTTTAATCCCAGCCCAGAAAGAAAACCAAAAGTTATTATCGGCGATATTACATTTTCGAAATTATTTTTCTGAATGCGTGTCTATGAAATGGAAACAAATGAATCCGCCCTATCAGTGCTGTAGGTTTTTATATTTTCGGTTACACCTTTTCCCTCTATTTCGATATATGCGTGAATAAAGGCGTACGGGCATATTCGTAGTGTTCTACTCGAGATTTTATGATATTTTACGAAATTAGTGTCGATGCGTTAATTGATAGCAAACATCGCGCTCTCTCATCGTACTGGACAGGCAACTAAGGTACTAGATAGTCGTGTTAGTTTTTTAAAATGTAATGAAATGTTCTTAAAGAATAAACTCATAATAATAATAACTTAAGAAAAACAAGAATAAAAACTAGAGTTAAGCACCCTAGTACTCTCAAAAATAAACTAGTACTAAATCTGTGTGAAATTGAGTTTAAATGGCGGAATTTTAAATCTTATCACGATAAAAGAGCAATTAGCTTCTGCTTCAAATAATCTTCCCGACGCTTGATCTAGACAATAGTACCTCAGTCTGCCGGCGTTTACATTTTCTCTCTCTTTTTTTTTTTTTTTTCTGTTCCAATTTACAACAGTGAGTTTGTTATAATTGTTCCTTGCCCTGTGTTCTAGTGGTTCTTCGCCTCGCTATCGGGAGTCCGTCCCTCTCTATGCCGGCCGCCGCCAGCACTGACCCATCTCTTCGAGCACGTAAATACTACAAATTACTAGCTAGCTCACCTAATGACGAAATGAAAGCGACGCCTGAGGATGATGTTCATGCTGGTGATGCATCCGGGTTGAACTGTCTCGTATGGTTTAACCTTTAGCTAGTATAACGTTCATTTGGACTCGCTCGAACATTGACAGCTGATTGACTGGCTCGACGATAAGCTAGATCGTAAGATCAAGCGTAACGTCGCAAAAACAACGGCTATAGCACGTTTTAGTTTACTTTTCTGTTTAGCATTAATTGAAAAATGATGGCAGTCAGTAGATTACTATGTACGTGGACGTAGCTTGTGCATGCGGTGCGAAATACCCTGAGTAATGCATCTCCTCCTATTGTACATATATGCACATATATTTATGCGTCACAGAGGCTGGTCTGTGATAAGTGTCAAGCGGAGAAAAACTCTATACATAGACTATTTAGAACCATAAAGTGAAAGTGGTTTTTTGTCGGTAAGACTTTTATGAATTGCATCGTATAGCCGTCGATCAGTTCAGCCACTGTCTCTGCACACCGGCCTGTAAGATTTTACGGCCCCACTTCTCCAATGGTAGACTAGTACCGCTTTTAGCAATTGTAAGAACGTTAGCTTGATTATTACAGACATTAAATGGCTTCTGAGAAGTTCTGTAATTTTGTGTTGAACGAATCATCAGTAGCCAGAACGCATTCCTCGTAGCGCAAATGTTATCATTATTATTGTTATATAGCATAGCAATACGATGTGCGCGATACCACACTGATCACACTTGCCGTTGTCTATCGGCAAAAGTTGACTACGTTTTATGAAACTGCACAGTAAAATCAAGAGATACACGGAAAAATAATGCATGTATCAAGTTATAAATACCCTGTAAAGTTAAACCCAACTGTGGACCTCTTCTAACTAGCCCTAGATTATAAATAATGGTTTTTCAATCCAATGAAACAAACTGAACAATACAAACACCAATAACAGATACTTTCCATGTCTATTGTACATTGTAGACACAATCCATAATTTATCCGAGTAATAGATCGGGCCCAATATCCAGCACCTCAATTACACTAAAATTAAATGGGAGGGATTTAAAGATTGTTTTGATTTGACCACGTCCGTAAGACGAGAGGCTCTTCCTTCGTGTTCCTTACCCCTTGCGGTCTACTTGAGTTATAGTGCGACTCCTGAAGACAAGGAGGCTTAGCCTTGTGGCCGTCGGTCGTAATTGTCGGACCCGGACACAGTCACGATCTACGATCGGAGGACATTATCGTTAAGCGATGTTACGCTTGTAACGATTTAAAAAAACGAGTTTCTCTTGCCGTACCTTTACCAATCTCATCTACAAGCTTGCCAAAGCCATATAAAATCGTACAAGGCGAGCAGAGAAGCTCGAATCTCGAAGCGGGTTATCGTTAAACGCGTGTCGTTTCAACTGTAATTCGATTTAGTGTAACTACCAAGACGGTCTATGTTGTTCTGTGCGGCGCAGTGACTTAGCCGTTGCCCTTAATGCCCGCTGTGGATAGTATCGTTTAGCATGTTCGGTACGATAGTCTCGGAATATACTGAAGGAAAGTGAACCCTAACGAACGACGTTTAATTGACTGCGCACTATCGTATGAACCGGCAACCTTCGTTGGCGTGCGGTGCTTGTCGTGCCCATAATCGACTGAACGAACGGACAGGCCAAGCTCCTGTTCTCCATGAATATGGGAATTTTCTTGTTATTGTTATTATTATCACGCTCACGGTGATGGGTCTGTAATTCACCTCGCTATACTTTTTCGCCCCTCAACCATCTCCCTCAAAAATTCTCCGCCCCTCCTTCCCCACCGCACAGTCAGCCACATCCGGCTTAGCCCGGCATTTCCTCCTCCTCTTCCTCTATTTTTCTGCGCTTCTTCAATCTTCGGGGGGAGTCGCTGCCAGTACTGCTACTTCTCCTGCACCGACGGGTGTTGTGAGTCCAGGCAACACCGCACACATATTACAAACAAACAGACGTACACATACAGGCACTCGGGCTGCATCACTGAAGCGAAGACGAGAGCACACAAAATGAGGACTACCAGTACAAGTACCAGCACATCGCTGCTGCAGCCACAGTTATCATCGTCAACATGGCCAGTTTCGCTCTGAGGATACCATCATACCGTCGAATGACGAACAGTCGAAATCGTACGGAGGGCCACGGTGAACGGTGAGCCGGCTCACCGCGTCTTACCCGCGCAGAAGCGCCGATCCTCGCCCCTGCTGTAACCCCACCAGCCGTTGCTCTCTCTGGCCGTCGATCATTGCCGCTGTCTTCGGTAAGCCGAACACACCAACGAATAAACGAGCGAACAAGGAAATTGGCGTTTTTAGTGGCATTTCGACCGATTTGGTCTTCGACGGGTTCAGCAAAAAGTTGTCGCCTACCTCGCTGCCTTACCGATCGACTCGGCCCACCAGCTCCGCCTGTTTTGGGTCTGATGGCCGAACAAGCTCACGGAGTAAGTGAGCACTGAGCTGGCTCGGAGGCAGCGTTACAAGCAGCCGGGTAGCGTACGAACAGAGAAGGCCGGAGAAGCCGTCGTTCTATCGCTATCTCCGCCAGCGTCTGATGCTGCTGTCGCCGGCACTTGCACGCATATGTACTTATGACTTCGGCTGACTACTGCGCTGTCGTGTCCAAGCCTTCGTGGTCGCCGGCTTTCCTCTTCGGCCGAACTGGCTTTTTTCATCTCATCGAGTCTCTATCCAATGCCGATGATCGTTTTTGGCGAAGAACAGACGCGAACGTCTGGCCAAGAAGAAGACGATTTGCGCTCGCGTCCTTCTACTCGCCGGCCAAAGGCAGCAGCAACGTCTTGAAAACCGACAACGACAAGCCGCATCAGTCGGAGGGAACACCATCAGACACACCGGCCGTGCTCTTCCCAGTGATGTTAGTCGCTCTTGCATTTCGCCGTAGAAACATGCAGAAAAAAAGCAAATGCATTTTTAACAGCGTTTCGGCCGCAACTAACGAGTTACAGAAGCCGAATGGCAGTTATAGTGAATGTGTGTGCCAGTGTTGCATTGCGGTCCTATGTTTTGCGTTAGTTCTGTTGCCGTGAACTCTGCTGAGGGCCAGTCATAACGATGCGCCTTGTACCGATGCATTTTCAGCTGGAAGCAAATAATAATCGCTCAAGGAGATACTGAACAGAATACGTAATTTTAGTGCTTTGTAGCTTCGAAATATTAGCAACAAAAAAAAAGGTTGGTTCAAGTGCTGTCATCAAGTTTTCATAGGGCACTTTCTCTACGTCGTCATTTCATTTTTCCAAAGTTTCATACATACTACTGCTTTTGGACAAACACACACCCTATGAACCAGTTAAATATCGAGGTGGCAGCGGCTTATATCGCGAAACAGTCAATTGAACCAGCGGAAACCCAGCCCATCTGCATGTACCGGCAGAATCAGTCGTTGTGATATTCATTTACTTAGCACTCCAATACCATCGAGACCTCATCTTTCTCTCACTTGTAGGGTAGACCGAAAACAGGGTATTTCAGTGCAAGTTTGTTTTCATACATCAGGCCATAGATCGGCCAAATTAGGGAAGAACGATGGGACCGATTCGTTGAAATCGACGTTCGAAATAGGTTCGTGTGCGATCGCTTCACTGTGCGTTGTTTTCTTCATCATCGTTAATCATGGCATTGTTCTTGGTTTGAAAAAAGTGCATACGCATGCAAACTGACATGAAGACATCGTTAGGACAGGAACAGCTGAGCTCCTCGAGGTGAATTAAAACCTCAAGTTGTCTCCAGTTAATGAGATGACCAAGCAGAAAAATTCAGCCCTTGTTTTTCAAATCATGTTGTTAGTTTACTTTACCTGTCAGTGTGTATCCTTGATTCTCATTCGTTACAAATCTTGCTTCAGTAGGTCGTCAGTCTTTTGCAACAATGGTGCTCACGTATACTCTTTTTGCTGAGAATCCTTCCTGGGTCGAGCCTTGACCAGGCGTGTCTTACAATTCCGGCTCTCAGGACTCCTAAAACTTTTATTGCTACGGAGCAGCCATAGGGTGGGCGGTCAGCCTCGTTGCCACGCATCCTACACATGTGTCTCTCGACAATTCTTGTATTTGTAGAATTTAGCCTCGGTTAGGAGAAATTTCTATCTTTGTTAGCCCTTTAACTGACTAATGTCTCAAGTCGTGCCCTCCGTTCCCGCAAGTACATTATCATGTGCTCTATACCATGCACTTTCGGTAGATTTCAAGTTACTCCCTCGCCTTTCCTCTATCGTTAACCCTGTTTTCATGCTAGGAAAACGGCTTTTCAGCAGATTTTCCGCCCGAACATAAAGTCCTCCCTTCAGAAATTTGCAAAAAGTAAGATCTCTCTCAAAAGGGTTTGCACGAAGTCAATTTAAACATGCGACGTAATAATGCTAATCTCATTACTAGTATTTCCTGTCGTTAGGATAACTATTTTCTCGTAATATAAGTAAATAGGCTTCGTGCATTTTCAGTGAATAATTGGGTTTGCTAAAAAACCGACCGTGTCCAAGGAAGTCAACGAAGCTTGAGTCTGTGTGTCCTCTTTGGCCATCAGTTTGTAAGATCTACTGTTTTTTTTTCTTAAGCAATACATTGTGTTTGGATAGCATGACATTTTTTGTGGACGCGCACTCTGTTATTGAACGGGCTTTCTTGCAAAGTGCAACTAACGCGTACTATTTTTAGCTATTCTTTACCCTTTTAGGTTTTATTTCCTAATGCATAGGTTGACTTACTTTTAGTATTTCTACCAAGACTATAACCTCCCAGAATTGAACACCCTCGGGGGCTCACAATGTGCTGAGCGCCAATTGGACAGAGCATGAGTGAACAGCGCGACGGTATAAACATTGATCGAACGAAAGAGGCGTATCTGAAGTGATGCATTTGGAAACCCCTGCTTGGTAAAGGTTTAGATTTGACATATTGAATGGACAGATGGCCGCAACCCTTAAGGCATTTTATAACGGCCCTTTTTGCATAAACATATCTATTTCTGTTCTCCGGTTATTAACCAAACCCCATTGGCTATGTTCTCTTATTCATGCAAGCGCGATATTAATTAAATGCACCTTCTAAATAAGAAATCAATAAAAATTTAGCTAATTAACTAGTTAATTAGTTAACTTTTCTAAGAACTAAGGGGCTAATATGGTAATTTACAAATTTGGCGTTTGCTCACCGGAATCCCCTATCAAAATGTTGTCTTCGGAGAGATGAATCAGACTAATCGGTCTGTTCTAATTAATTAGTTACGCGGGCGGTCTAGTCAAATCTGAGCCGCTTTTTGCGATCTTTAGGAATATGCCAGGGATTTCGTTGTGATACCCCTTCATTTCGTATCAGCCGTCGTAACTAACGTGCATCTTCATATTGTGTTCTCTCTCTGTTTCGTGTTATTCTGTCCATACTCATCGAATCTTTCTTTTTTGACACAATTTCAGGAGTTCTTACTATCAGTGATATCGGAAAACCCAGCTTCGGAACGTAGCTATATTGTGACATCATTGGACCGTCTTAACCAACTGTATATTGTGCGAGGCGAAATTGAACGGGATGCTTGCGTTATAGTGAGTGCCTGTGAAAACGAACTGACGGCCAACGGTCCACTAGCTAATGTTCTAAGAGCCATGCGGCTAGTCGAAGAACTTCTCTGCACCAAACATGGAAACCAGATGCTCGAAAACTTAGTGCTCCGCAGCGGCTCAAAGCCGCCGATAACCTCGGATCCTTTCTTATCTGAAGCGACCGGACCTGGCCCAATGATCGGTGGCTCCGACGGTAGAAGGGATGGACGCGTCACTCGTCGCGTCGAGAGTGAAGACTCGTCGTATGATTCGGATACAGAGAGCGGGTTAGGTCCCGGCACCCGATCTCAGAGCTCCCAGGGTGCTTCACATGGAGCGCTAAGTCCCGGCATGGCCACAGCACCAAACAACGTTCAACAGCTCCACAAACATGACGATGTCTCTCGAACAGTGTCCGACACACTCGGGGCCGAATTCGCTGAGTATATCAGCACGCAAAAGGTCGAACTCAAGGCAGTTCTAGCCGATCCTGGCTATCAAGCAAGGCTTGAGTTCGCTTTAAAGTTAGGCTACACAGAAGCGCAGGTACAAACTGCTCTACAGAAGTTGGGCCTGAATGCGGCAAATAATGAGTTACTCGCCGAGTTGATTAAACTATCCTCCAGCGTGTCCAAAGATGACCAAACGCCAGTAGCGCCAATCGCAGGAGGCGATCAGCCTGGTGGAGTAGCTGGCAGCGCCAGTAGCGGTGGCGAATTACGGCCTATCGTAATCGATGGCTCCAATGTTGCGATGAGCCATGGGAACAAGGACGTGTTCTCTTGTCGGGGCATTCGAATTTGCGTAGACTGGTTCCGCGCCCGGGGTCACACCGAGTTGACGGTGTTTGTGCCCAGCTGGCGCAAAGAGTCGGCTAGGCCGAACACACCTATTGCCGACCAAGAGATCCTTTTACAGCTAGAACGAGAAAAGCTGCTAGTGTTCACGCCGTCACGAAATGTAGGCGGGAAGCGTGTTGTCTGCTATGAGGACCGGTATATTCTAAATCTGGCGACTGAGAATGACGGAATCGTTGTCTCGAACGACAACTACCGAGACCTCGTTCTAGAGAAAGCGGAATTTAAGCGAGTGGTCGAAGAGCGCTTGCTTATGTACTCGTTTGTGAACGATCGATTCATGCCCCCAGATGACCCACTCGGTCGGCAGGGACCAACTCTCGACCAGTTTCTACGTAAGCCTTCCGTCGCACCCCAACAGACTGTACCCCCAATTTGTCCGTACGCAAAAAAGTGCACTTACGGCAATAAGTGTAAATACTACCACCCTGAAAGGGGAAATATGCCGCAGAAGTCAATTACCGATCGGTTAGCGGAACAGTGGAAAATAATGCAGGAAGGAAAGGCGCGTAACCTTCACATGGGTTAGTGTTCGTTTAATTAATAATCAAGACTATTATTTTTATTTTACATATGTTTATTAGATTTTTAGTAGTATTATATACACATAATCATTTAGAGGATACCAATGTAAATACATATGGTGAATAATGTAATTATAGATTTGTAGCTATGTAATTCGCACGAAGCAGTGCACATAACTGAGATGATCTTACAAGGTAAAAACGATTCAGACTTAATGTTGTCATTTAGTCACACAGTATTGGAAAAATTTCTAATTTCGTTTATATTTGTTTAGACAAGAACGTTTTGAAAAAATTGTATAAAACTATTAGCTTGTTTAACGAGCTAGACTTTTAGGTAGATCTCCTTTAATCTAAAAGTAATCATTTTTTTTTTTCATTATATTGAAGAAACTGTTCGTGAAACGTATGCCGCATTGCTCTATTTGTCCGCAGGAGAAATATGTTAAGAAGAAGCGGAGCTATTATCTTTTACATTTATAACAAATGATTCATTTTCTGAAAGAAGATCAAATCTGTATAGTCGAAAAGGCAGTCGTCCAGTCCTTCCGATTCCCATGTTGAAGAGCACGTCGTAACGCCCAACGCTAATCAAAACAAACTTTTTTCCAACAGGTGGCAACGAACTCACGCGAACTCGTAGTGTTCCCGTCACGTCTGCCGGCGATCTTTCAGTCCCAGCTGCTAACAACAGCGGAGCCAGGAAAAAACAGCTAAGTCGAACTCGTTCTGCGGCCCCACCACAAAGACCATTAACGCATGACGACTTCGGTACACCTACCATTGGCTCTGGTGCAACAGGTGGCCTCGGAGAACCTCGAAGTCGACCAAAAGATGACTTTGCCATCTGGCAAGCCTTCGTAGATAGCTTGCCGTCAACGCCGTTATCCCGTTACTCGAGTTGGTCGAATCTGCCACCACCGAACAAAACAGCGCATGTCGGCGAGTCTGGCCACCTGACACTTGCTAAGAAATTGTCCGACCCTTCTGAATCACACCAAGACGTGAATATTAGCTCGCTTAGCTCTGCGGGATTGGGAGCTACCTCAGTAGTACCGAGCGATACCGGCAACAACCTGCACAAAAAACTGCAGCGCCAATTAACGCTCAATCCGACCTGTGATGATCGGCTAGCCCAAATGCGAATGGCAAATGGTCCTGCAGGCATAGGCCAGCCATCAGGCCAGTCAATAGGTGGAAGCGGTGGTGGACCTCCAGGCGGACCGCGAACAACTGCGTCGCATCAAAACGTCTCTCGGCTTAGCTCCGATGGATCCTCATCGGCATTTCGGGGAGCGCATGGAGAGACGGGAAACAGTAGCACGTTTAGCGACGGTGGCTGGCAAGTCGGATTACTTTCCGGCCAGAACTCAACATCGGACACTAGGTTAAACATGTTTCCCAATCAGTTTGTGACACCCACCTGCTACCAGCCAAGCATCTGGTCGTCTCCTCCGCCACCGGCGCAGCAGGGGGTACACGGCTTGCGGCCATCGAGTCTGCCCCCGCAGAACCGAATGCGGGCACCTCTCATAACGCCACCTGGGCAAAGTCTCTCGAAAACGACGACTCCATTCGGAACTGCGGCTTCTGATAATTCTAGCGGAGCAGAAGGAGGCGGTGGAGGAGGGGGTGTTGGCCCAGGAGTTTTATGGACGTACGGCGCTTTGGAGCAACGAAGCAAGGTTTACTATCATCTTACATCCATTTTCCCGGAAGCGCAAGTTAATGCTGCCCTGGAACTGCATCCGGACGGGTTGAATGCGCCAAAGATCTGTGCCACGATCCTGGCGATGTTCCCATCAAAATCGTAGAGTAACTAACTAGGTTTAATCCTAGCTAAATGTAACCAAAACACTTGTTTCACTGATATCAGTACGAACGCAATTGAACTTCCCAACCGATCGATACACATTTATGTACGCTATTACCTATCGATAAACTCAGAGCGACTGTCCCAGGCTGAAAACTAACAAACCAATAATACTATTAGCTGCGTTTTCGTGAAATTCTGAATGACGAGGCGCTCGATCAACTATCACAGAACAGATGAACACAAGTCTCCTAGTAAGTACTGACAAACGTCTACCGTACGTGCTACATAATATAACATCATGGTGTATGCCAGTATTAAACGCTAACATGGGCAACAATGGAACGACATTTTCGGTGGAGTTAGCTATTTGTGCCCGGCTGCATTTATATATGATCTAAACGGGCGTACACAAGCATTGACAGATAATTTAAGCGCCAAAGCACACGGTAGTGCTTCATTGATTGTACTTGGTAGTCCTGCGGCGTTGGAGCGCCACTGCCGAAGCTCTGCCGCAATAACTATCGTATTTCTCGTTAAGCCAAATTAAGTTGCCAATCAGACCACCATTACTTTGCTTCACGTCTGATAATCGTATCTATTTTACAACGAGCACGAGTCAATGTTAGCATCGTTGTTATTACTGAATTATGATGCTAGACGTATACCTGTGCGTAGTAAATGTAATGTATCGTAACGAAATCGGATTGTTGCGTCGCGTACGATGCCGTCAGAGGGACACATTATTAGAGGCCAAGGCGTGAAACTATTAGTTTAAAAAGTGACGTATAGACGAAGCTAGTAGAGTATGCTAAAATTTTATTGGTGAAAAATTTCTGCGGCGTCCCCAAATAGAACATTGACGGTTTAGTTAATGTCCAGAGCGGTAAGCAGGCGTTCAGCAGCTGGTCGGCGTTGTTTTGTTGACCAAGGAAAGTATATAAATAGCGAGGCCGAAGCACACTCGTGAAATCGAGCGGCTCCTTTAGTAGACATATAAAAATGCCAACATGTCGACGCTGCAGCGCGCTAGTATGGCGATTCTAGATTGAGTGGAATAAAATCTTGTCCTATACTGGGACGTGGCGTAACTATGGAGCAGATTAGTTAAGCTACTATGCCAGATTCCACCGTGAACCCCGAGGACTTTAAAGCAAGGTGAATGACAAACATGCATATATTCGTTCAAAAATACAGAAACGATACTATTACATATAATGCTATCTGCACATAACAGTGTAGGGGTAGTCGGTGTGTGAAGCCATCGCTTAGCGGGCATGTGTTAGGTGTTTGCCGGAAATCTTGTCGCAGCGAAATATGCCGATTTCAATATTGAGATCATGGTCCTCGCCCACCCCTTGGCGTTCCTGATCTAACGCTAATGTACGTGATTCTAGCAATAGCACTAACGAAAAACAAACCAGCGACCATTTCATCAAAAACCGTCTTCATTAATCTTTCTGTATCTCTACGTATACCGCAATATATCTATATGGCACAAGTCTTGCAAACGCTATAATCTCTTACCTCATTGACACGTTCGAAATCGAATTCGTAACAACAACCGTTACCAATATACTGTCGTTTGACATTATCGACCCCATTATGATGAAAGCTTACCTGTTTCACTGGGGTCATTATTCTATTTTACATACGTATGAAGCTACATATAGCCTGTAATAATGGGCATTTTAGAGTAATCAAACGCGAACAGCGTATGTAGTGTTTGCTACATAAAACCCGCCCGTAGAATGTGGATAATTGTTGTAGCTTGTATAGATACCTATGTGCACCTACCTGCTCCTCGATGAAATACGCGAATGTAGTTATGGATTACAAGAATAGTATCGAAATCTAATTCCTCTAGGGAAACAGTAAAGCCGTCTTCCCTGTCTCCACGTACGCGGGCGTGTATGAAAATCGAAAGAGAAGAAGGGCGCTAGCTGAGAGATAAGCAGCGAGAATGACTCGCTGTATTTATAGCGTCTTTTGTGTAGATGATCAGAAGATTCCCTGGAACAGGTGTGATGTTTCGAACGAATGTTCATGTAGCTAAGCTTTGATCCCCGCCCTCCCGGATGACGATCCTATCCTGCACTCGAAACAACGTGACGACGAGACGCAACAGATTGACGCAAGGTAATGGCATCAATTTCATTGCTTGTCAGATGCTACGACCGAAGTCTTATCCGAAATGGAAAGTTATACTAGCATCACGAATTTTATTATTAGTTTGTAGAACTTATAATAATTATTATTGTTGCGGCGACTTTTATATAGGCGTATGTATGCAGTACTGTAGTCGGCCAATGGGTCGGCGTGGGATCGGCTGGGAAACGCTCTAGTCATGTAGCGAGTATAACTGAAAAACAATCTCTTGGGTTAACAGGGAACTTAGTAATGCTTTATAGCCAATATCTGTAAACGTAGCGCTATATATATATATATATATATATATATATGAACGCTACGAGGATTTTGAAAATCTTCTGATGACTCTGCCTAATGAGTATAGATGATATCATTTTTACATAGAATATTTTCGCGACGGTGACTCATTTCGAAAAGGGGCACTTTTTGCTACTAAATATTTTGGTGGTTATCTGCAACAAAAATTACTTTTAAAAACAGTCATTCCGAGTATACCCGTTCTTCATACAAGTATAAAATTAATTGATAAAATATCACAAACGTAACAGTTCTAAGGTACAGGTGAAAACAAATGAAACGGTATTAGGCAAAACGTTTGTTGATTCATTCTGATGAATGGGAAGGTTACTTCTTGCATTATATTACACAACCAACTCGATGTTGTAGAGTTAAGGCTACCTAAGGCTTTTTGACATTTTAAGAGCATTGTGGAAGCTCTGATTCATGTAGCATTATTTTAATGCAAACCAAGAGTAACAATGACGCCACGATATAACCTTTTGTTTATATTGTATGTATAATTTCACGTCAGCCCGTATTCGTCGGAAGCATGAATAGTCAGTTTTCCAAAAATTAAAAATACATAGAATTTTCTTCGTGTAGAATATTTTCTTGAAATAAATTGAATAAACTTAACTATAGACCTATAGAAATACTAAAGTGAAAATAAATATGTTTAGTGTTATTTTAGGTGTTCCAATCAGCATATTCAGAATGAATAGCAATCATGCTGCTACTAATGAATCTAAAGAATTAGGTGAACGTAGTGCCATTTAGCTTGAGTAGAAGATCTCAGTAGAATTCAAGTAGCGAGTCTTTGCAAGAACTGATTTCCTAAATCTTTCCGAACCTTACTTCGACTACCGGGTGTACTTAAATAGATAATGGTATGCTACATTTGTGTGCAGCTCATAACAGTTTCACTTAACGATCTGAAATAGAATATGAATAACAGCAGGCGATCGACACAGTAACAACCCCTCAGGGCTGCCCCCCTCAAGGAAGACCCACATGAACATATCTTAATATTGATATTTGCTACATGTTTCGATAGGCAAAGTTTTCTTGAACAGATTGCTACAGCTTAGCACTGCCCGTAGACCGGACTTAGGAACAGAAGCTGAAAAAGCAAAGACAGCACCGGGCGTTAAGAGAGAACGAACCTTGCTGTATACAGTTGTTCCATTGATCAACAAGGGGACATGTTAGGAGTACCCCATTTACTGGACAAGCGTAAGTCCGCTCTACTGTTCAGAGCTGCTGAAGCGAACCGCAACATTGGTGCAGTATCGTTATTATTACCACTGCTTGTATTATATAATGTTCCTCTTCCGTCAAATTGCACAGATTCTACTATTGATAATTGTCTAGTTACAATACCACATAACAATTTAACGCCTAGGGCGTTCAGATCTCTATTGTATCCCCTAATCTACCTTTTCCATTAGTGGGCGCAATAAACGTCTTCATAAAATGATTGTTAGTATACAGAATCGCCTGAAGTAGAATATAAGCTATACTGCGCTGTGTATCCTTCGATTCGTGGGCGTAATCGCAATGAGAGCAGTCCATGACACAGACAATGAAAGCAATTGAAAAGAGGGCAACGAAGATATTTGATTTATTGACTAGTTGCTTAACTACGCGTCTCGCTACATGCACATACACGAGTTACTAAGCGGGTAGGGTCGTTTTCGCACATGATTTCATAGTCACTTTCGCATAGTACCTTTCTGCTGGCGTAAAATTGATTTTCGAAAAAAAGAACCTAAATATGATTGAGATAAACATTCAAGGAACGCATCTACTAAAAGAATGTAATGGAATCTTAACACAATGCGCGCATCATTATTCGAGGAGTCAGTTCGATCGTATTGTAACACTAAGCGTGAATGTAAAGAGAGGAAACGAATAGAAACCAATTGCAACGAGACGGAATATGGAACAGCCATGTGGCACGTAACAGAAAGGCGCGAATCATTTGCGTTAGTTTTGCTATTACATTGTCCCCACCGGCCGTGACGGCCGTTTTGACAATAGTTAAGCGCGGTTCCGTCAGGGATCACGCAACAGAGGTTCCAGAAGCTAAGAACGGTTAAAAGCGGAAGTGGAACAAGATTTATGGGTCAGTTAGACCCAGCTTTTGTTTAGAATTATTATGACTCTATGTTTATTAGAATCACGGTTGTTTACTGAACTCACATTCAATTGGAGAGTTGTTTTATGTTTAACACTGAAGCTGCTAACAGCTACCTAACACATTGTTTTTCGTGTCTTAGACCCGGCACCTAAGCCGTTAGGAACCACTTCAGACGGTTGACTTCCAGCGCGAAACGAAGTGTCGTTGCACCTGGATTCAAGCCTAAACCACCTCATGAATTCTTAAGTTTAGCAAGTTAATACGCTACCCACTGCGCTATTACGGAAACAAGTTGATACAATGGCCACCGTTGAACGTTTTCCCATTTAGTTCAAGCGTTAACCACTCAAGTTATGCCTACGAACTATCGAGATGTGTGGATTAACGATAAGGACTATCTGAATGCCCACTTGCAAAGCATTACCCGATTGGGCTTGGTAACATGAAAATGGGCCATGTAAGTCTTAACAGCTCATGAAGCTCCACACACTTTTGGTCGCTTTGAATCATTCATAATGCAGTTACTATCATGCACACGCTGGGTTTGCTCACATTGTGCTATTCTGCATATATATATATATATATATATATATATATATATATATATATATATATATATATATATGCCTAATTATGAACGGTTCTTCGTTCAACTTAGCTGCCTAATGTTGACTATTTGATGACGATAAGGAATTACCGTACATTGTGCGTTAATTGTAAACTTGCACAGGAAGCGATAGGTACTTAGCACAAGCATCGATGATTAGAGGATTTGATATAATTATGATACTAACCGACGAGACACACACAATCAATACGATTAATGCATACATTTATATATATATATATATATATATATATAGTTTATAAACACGTAAGCTCTACCTGTTGCGAGAGCGAGAATATATAATGTACGCGTCGATGTTTCCTTTTATTGATATATCCAAGTGTCAATAGTAACAATGGTCCAATGGACGTGCGCACGAGATGCGAAACGAAGAGGGTACATAAATGTATACCTCTCTCTTCGTGGTGTCGTTCTGCATGTGTATGTAACAACACAACGGTAAAGCATGTATCTATATTAGATAGTGCAAGCGTACAGTGATGTAGATATTCAGAAATCTATCGTACGCATGGGTCTTTATGCCTCATAAAGATGCCCGTATATTTACCTGAAAAAAAACTTGATAGGTGCCGTGTACCAGCAATGCATATTATTTGATAATTTCGAATCAGAACAAGCGATTTCAAAAGATTTCATAATATTATTACAGTCGCCTTATTTGCCTATCTAATATGTCAAAGGTCAGATATTGCATTTGATCGATAAACTGATCATTCAAATGAAATCTCTATATCAGGAATAATGTACGAGGAAAAACTATAGCGCAAGCTAGGGCTTCTTAAAACTCTCACAACTTTGTTTTTCTATTTATCCGAACATTTGTCACCTGCCATTGCAGTGCAGTGTTGCGTGGGATTTCTTTTGGGGAACGTGGAAGTTCAACGCATTGAATCTAGGCTCATTAAATGTATATTTTCCATCTAAAATACACTTCCATCACGGATGAGCGAAAAGTATAATAAAAAGGTTGCCATTTACGTAGCACTTTGTATATCGAACCCAGTTCACAAATCCTCTTGAAAAAAAAAGGCGGGAAATTATAAGCTATTGTATCTATTATAATTATTATCGCATGAAAAAATGTTGGCGACAGGCATCGTTGCCGTGCAGTAAGACCCGCACGCAATTCTGCGGTAGCGACAGTTGTAAGCACGGAAGCCGCGTTTTTCTAACTATTATGACTAGTCGTTGCCCAAGACCCACTGAAATAGAAAAAAAGAAAAACGTTTTGCTTAGAGATCAGCCACGACAAAACGTAAATTTGAGACTGATTAGCTTATTATATAGGAAATATTTTCAAATTTCATAAATATTCTTGAATTATTGTTAAACAAAGTAAATTGCAAGTCTCTTAATGCTTTGCTAAATAGAGTGACAACTACGACGCGCAGGTGCGTCAAGTGGTGGCGTAGTGTGATAGGCTTTCGAATAAAGGAAATGCACGGTTATGCCACGGTTAATGGCGGGTTGGAGCTGTGAAAACAGTTAAAACATGGACGTTTTGCTTTACTCCCAGCGTACACTGTCGTCAAATGCGTGGCACTGAAATGGTAGAACGAAGTGGGAGTGATACTATTAACACGCATCGCTGTCTTCACTCTGCTGCTCGAGAATAGCAGCGCAGGTGTTACCATTCGTATTAGTATCTATATTATCTATAACTTCTCGTTGAAGTACTGATCTTGTAAACAATGGTTGTATAACTGTTTCGAGTACTAAACAAGCCAACAAATTAACTATATATATATATATATATATATATAGCTTAATGTCTAACATGGGCTTGATGCCCACAAGCTGTATATTTGTTTCAAATACACCCAACAATAATAGTGCGTGTAGCCTATACTAGTCGAATTTATCGTAGCGACACTCTGCGGTAGTTCCAGATGTAGCAACAACACCAGCAGCATGCACAGTAACGCCCCGCGGATTTTCGCTGTTGCTGTCGTCTGCTAAAAAGATCGGTCTGTCTGCTTGTTTGCCTCCCAGTTTAACTTCATCCCCCAGACCCCAGTTACCCTTTACCTCAGCATGAGTAAGCTTCCCTAGAGGAAGCGCATTTTACTATGTAAGTTGTGTTCACAACAACAACAACAACGATTACAAAACGTTGATAATACTGTTAACAACAACAATATTATTGTAAGACACGTATACTGTCAGTAAATACCGTTATTAATGACAATTATAACGCTAGTAATGACGATAGCAACCAGAATATTATAGTTAATGATAAACCTTAAATAATTAACTAACCCAAAAATGTAAGAAAACTACTATGATTTCTGATGCTATCACTATTATTACCAGTGATCAAAAGGTTGACTCAGAAAACGACACACAGAGACCTCGCATTGACAAGCAAATAACTGTGAACAGTCTTTTCTAAACCGAGAATAATAAGTAGAGAGCCCTGTTGGCAAGCTAATGAAGTTGTGGTGGAAAGGTTCACTTAAAATGCTATTGGTTTCCTAAAAAATCACCATTGCTATGCTACGCCATCTGTAGATGAATAAGGCAAACTGTTGCTGAGACATACAGTTACAGCCGGCGCCATATATGACCATCATCATGAAGTAAAAATTACAGAGTTTCAGAGTACTCTAAGCAGTGCAAACAATACGAGCAAAGAGCAGCTGCGGTAAGAACCATGTTGCCAATGCGAAACGGCCAGATTTTAATCGACGAATTCGTTTTCTGATGACGCAAAAGAACGAAACAACGGATGCGGACATACACACTGCAGTTGAAGTGTACGTCGGTGTTACGTTAAGCACAATAACATGCATAATATGTCCATACTTGGTAACGAGCAGGTTTAAGCAGGATGAAAAACACAAAGGAAAGCTTAACTGATGACCGAGTTTCTCAAATCTCGGCAATCTCACTGAAATGTCAAAAAATCGGTATGTGAGGAAGAAGAATGCATTGCGCGATTTTGCGAGTAGAGTCTACGCATCATGACAGCGGTGGTGATGATAATGGTGATCAATTATTCAGCATATAAATAAAACGTATGAAAAACGTAAGGCGGCACGTGTGTTTACTTCGGGGGAAATCGTATTCTAGAATATATAATAGGTATATAACAGAAAAGGAACCTATTTTTCTAGAAAATTATGGACGGGAGAGTAAGACGGGATTGGAAACATCAGGGATATCATAGGTTAGAAACATAAATTACCTAACGTTACTCATCTGTACAGCAAGATATTGATATTGATCTCTGCAGTAACAACAAGCAAGCTATATCCGACTATACTCAGCAGCTACGAATAGCTCGAATAATATTTTTCTTCACATGCGTATCCAAACAAAATGCCCAGCATGATTTTTGGCCGTTCAGCTCATGCAGTTTGGTGCTTTAATCTGCCGTTATACTGGTTCTGGCTAGCTCAAAGCCTGTCTCGAAAACCCAAAATGCGGGTGCACAGATGGGTTGGCATGTCAAGACTTCGATTAGCGACGCCAACCTCACGGCATGTATTACGGCTCACTAGCTACCGATCACCATTAATAGGTATACGAAAAGGTAGCTGGGAAGTAGAGTGATTGACTTTTGTTAGGGTACGCTGTTTCGCAGGGAGGCAGTAATATCCAGTGTTCCCATAACTGGCCTAACCGTTCGTGTCCTTGATTTATCGGTAATGTTTTCTAGTCCAGTATGTCGCAGATCGCCCGCCAATTTGAAACCTGGCACTTTGCCAAGGAATGAAGGAATCAACTCGAATGCGAAATCGCTGCGCAAAAACTCGTGTAGACGTGAATTCTCCGTTTTGTCAGAGTTAGTCGGAAATAGAAACAAGCCGAGCCGACGTTAGAAGCCGGCACGGGTGAGAGGACCTATGTATAATATGTGGATTACTTCTAAATACTTCCTTAAGTAGGATCAAACGGTCGACCACGTAGATGAGGTGAGACTTCGAGCGTCGAGATTCTTTGTCCAGTTGCATGTTACAATTCAAAGACCTTTTTAAGTTGTTTGATGTCATGATATTATTTCACCTGCTGAGTATTGTGTTGTAAAGCTTTGAGTCTTAGTAGAAGAGTCAAACGAGTTGACGGAATTTACATAGAGGCTAGGTTTCCTTCTCAGCGACTGGGTGTTTCTATTTCATCTTAATTTCACGACCCGTCGTTTGTTATGGGATAGTATGAGAGGAACGATACTTTAGTCAGCTAGACTTGCGCTCAGGTCCGCTCAAATTCAAATTTGCCCGCCCATTTGGCGATTTTTTTTCTAACAGTCAAAAAATCAATTACCAGTGAAAGAAAAGAATAACTGGATATCTCAGCAGCGACTCAAAAGCTGTCAACACAGATATATATATATATATATATATATATATATATATATATATATATATATATATATACGTATATTCGCATTTTGTTAATAAGATTGTGCATAGTCATTTTGTGATTATGCGCGATAGCCTGGACTTCCACAAAAAAAATCGTCGGAAAAAAACTATTTCTGCTAAAACGTTCCGTCTAGCTCTGGTTTTGTTCTAAATAATACTAAGCAACTTTTCGACCCTGTTCATTCATGGTTAACGTAGTTTGATCAATGATCCTAAAACAGTCTAGAAGAGATGTAATCTTAATTATATTTCATCGAGTAATATATCATCAGGTTCTAAACGCAAACGTATTTATTGCTTTTTTTTTAAAGTTCAAGTATTTTCAGATATGATGAGTTTCCCCACTTAGTGGCGGCTTTCGAATTTGTTAATTCGAACCTGCAAAATGTATTTCATTTCTCTTCGTATTTGGTGGGTCACGTTGTTCAAGAAATGTAATTCATTAGAGGAAGCGCGTTTCATTTAGAGAATCGTCGCTCTACAGCAACTCTGTATGGCAGCACAAAGACTGTGAAAAGGCTATAATAAGATTAACCGATGGAATTGGTGAAAGCGGAATCCGTATATAGGGCATCAAGTAAATAAAGGGTTGGTACCCGACAGAGTAGAAAAGTTCCCCACCTGCTCTTGTGACTTTCAATGCTTACGTATTGAATTTCCGTCGACAAAACCGATGTTATTATGGAAACAGTTTTAGACGGGTACAAAGTAGAGAATTTTTCGTTCAAGGTGGATATTAATGCAGTTCAAATATACGAAGCGATCGGAAATCGTTCTTGGTAGATACTAATGGTGTAATTATCGATGTTAGAAAGAGGTTCGTTAAGGGGAAATTTGTTTTGAAAATTGCATTCTACAAATCGTGGCTCTCATAGTCTTGCTTAACTGCATAATCGACAATCGTCCTGCAGCTTAACTGTTAGTTTTTTTTATTTACCAAGCGACTCAAGCGTTCCGTTGGCGTAGCACTCTTCTAGCCAAATTCGTTCAAGCCCAAAATAACCAAGGACCATATTTAGACTTCCTGACGCCGGAGAACTCTTTTTCGGCCGACAAACCCTACATCGATCTGCATAAACAAATGGTAGTCTTAGGGAACCAAGTCTGGCAAATAAACTGCCTGAAAAGGAACGTTCCACAACAGCTCAAAGATGGTACTTTCAAGATTCTATGGGGCAAACGTCATGCAATAGGCTCACTTCGCCACTTGCTTGTCTAGCAAAGCACCTTTTCTTGCTAAGTGAACTACCTAGTTTGATTGGTTAACAGTTTTATAATGTTCTTCATCAGCCTTAATCAAGAAGGTCCACTTCTTGTTGACAGAAAGCATCTGGAACAAATTCAAGGGGTTATTTATTCTATCCGATTCCATCAGGCGAGTGCCCATTAGGCCATGCTTATCGATGTTTGTCCATGAGTAGGCCATTGTGCCACCTTCTGTATTTTCACACGGCGCCGATGATTCGGCACTGTTTACTAAGCCGCACGCAACTGCTCAATGAATTTTTACCGAGTTTGAGCAGATTTTTTGTTTAACTTTATTGCGTAATCTAGTAAACCGTTTCGGCAACTGCAACACATTACGAACTAATATCCAACGTAAAATGAATCCGTAAAATGAATTTTGTTGCCTAGCTAATACCTATATGTATTTGATAACTGGACAGAATACAATATTTCAAGTGACGCTTTCGAGACTCCATTCGGACCTCTAGTTCGCTACCGCTAAGTCTAAACAAAAAAAAAGGTTAAACGACCTTGCTAGATCGATTCTAAACCAAAAAGTGAATAAAATTTCAAAATGATACCTTCCCGAAAGCTCGTACAAAGTTTGAGGTGACAAATTTAATACTGCAGTCGATATTACGAACTTCTATGCATTTACAAGTTACACTCTTAGGTTACTAAATTTATCACTAACGTAAGTGACAAACGATAAGCATCCTTTGGTTTGTTACGAGCGGTCAGTTGCCAACGGCTACCATCCCGCGATACGCAGCAAGCAAGCGTCAGGTCACATGCAAGCGCAGAACTCCGGAATCTCGGCAGCGCAAGCTTAAACGTACTCAATTCTAATGAAACAGCAGATCAGTGACATCTACCAGCCAATTTAGCTAGAAAGCCGTCGAGCATGAACTTACTTGAGATCTATGATGAATATAAAGGTTCAGTATATTTTATGTGCGAATTAATAAATCTCAAACCGCGAACCCGTCTGATGATTGTGCCAAGATCCAGATTGTTACTCAGTATAACTAGTAACCTGTTCTATGACCCGCACTTTGCTATCTTACTGGATTCTTGTTATTTGTTATTTATGTTAATCTTGTTATTGTTTGACTCGCAATATCGTCTGCGGATCATTGGAACAATGTTGTTGATCTAAGCGCTTCGACAGCAAAGCTTTGTGTAGAGTTTTAATTTTACAATTGGCAATTGCGGCATCATTCCGCCTATCATTGACTATCGTCGCTACTAAATGTGTGGTCTTAATTCGAAACCAAACGTACACCGACCTTATTTCGCTTTGCCAATCCGTTTGAAGTAGTCCTTGATGGCAGCACTGCACGTTAAACTTGAGATTCCTATTCCGTTCATATACGCTTGTTTTGGCGCTACGACGTCGGTAAAATCACTGGTAAAAACCCGCCAGGCTGCCTTATTTTTGATTGTTGACACTGTTTTCATCCCAGATAGGTGCGATCATCCGACGATATCGCAGACTCGAGTCCTTAGATCCGACCATCAGGTTTGGTAAAGATTTCGGATAAATGAACATATTTATTTATAACTGTTTCGTTTCAGATTCGAGGAGAAAACTCAGAGATGACCGACTCAGCGGAATCGTTCAGAATCATAGCAGGCGTCAGTACTGTGACCTTTATTAGGTGAGAACTATTGCGATTTCTTTATACGAACACAATTCTTCAGAGGGATGTTAGTGTCGTTGTACTATTTAACTCTGTATTGTGAATAATACAGCCGAATAGTAATGGCGAGAACAAACGAAAGATGAGGCCAGGTTATAGTCAACGAGTGATCACGAGGCCCAATGTTGCTTAGTGCCGACGGCCTCTTCTAAATAGGTCTATTCATACACGTACGTGTGTGATCTGGTATCGGTCGTTAACAAGTCAGCAACATGATCAGTCAAAAAACATTTAAATAAGGTTTACAAGTAATGCATCATTTTATGGAGGGTTATATGGCTCAGCGATAGAAAGGCTCAGTGATATGGTGGTATGTGATAGTTGGTTGGTGAAACACGAGATTTTTCAGAACTATTATAGCAAATATAGAGACTTATATTATCTAAAGATTAACTTAATTATTTTCCCTTGCATTTGTACCATGCACCATTTCCTCTACACCATGACGCGAAACGACTGCGACTACCAAGATAACAATTATTCCCAAGCGTGCAAACACTCTACTCGATGTATCATGGCTATTCGAGCGCGTCTCGCTTAGGCTGCTCTGGTATTTTTCCGTTTCTGACAGCTGCTAAAAAAGCGCACCGCTGCCAATGGCTTGTTGCTGGCAGATCCATTTTTATCGTTCCGTACTTTCTTTGACTTATCCATATCCAAGTGTCATCCCGTAGCGAATAATAGTTGACCAAGCGGCGTTCAGACACCGCAGCAAATATTGTCTATGCAAATTTC